CATGCAGGTATTTTAAAATGAGCCACAATTGTTTGTGTTGTGCGGGAAAAATGTTATAAATATTGAGGTCAATTTTCATTCCATTAATATCTGATTATTTTTACTGCTTTTAGTTATATATTTAATAAATAACTATGATTATTAAGAAGAGATGCATGAAAAATCATGTATCTAATACATAATAGTGATAGCATATTAAAAGCTTTCATTTGACATTTCTGAGCAGTCATTTTTTAAAACAGGTAACTAAGATTTAAGCTAATACAGCTAATGCTTGAAAATAGTAGTAGTGATAAAATAAAAAAGCAAGGTAGAGATTTAATCAAATAACAAGTAATTGTAACGTAGAAACGATTACATTAGTTTGTAATTATGTGGATTATATTTTCTCGAAGTGCCATGTTTTACTGAGGGATTCTCCGTCATATAAAAAGAGTTGCGGATATCAGCTCAGTTTTTATTGTTTTTATAAAGAGCTGTTGTTCTCAATTCCCACATTTTAAAACTATAAAAGTATAAAGGAATTGTTTCATAGCCTTACTTTGTCATAAAATCTAGATTACATATAAACCGCAGAAAATCTCTGTGCAGATTAAGCTTCAAATTGCTGAGTCAAGATAGTGAAATCCTATACTACTTACATCTTGTAGACATCCCAGACAAGCAGTAAAGAGATGAAAAATAAGTAGAAAAATTTAACGAGACAAATTTCCTCAGCCGACAGTAAAGAGGCCAAACAGATGATGGTACCGAAAACACACCCCTGTGGAGCTCCGCAGTGAATTTTCAAAATATCCACAAAACTTAATCGGTTGAATTTCTTAGAGCAGCATGAAAAATGTTTGTGTTCTTTCCCTGGTAAGTCCAGGTTTCCTGTGATGGGTTTGAATTCTGGGCTCATGGGGCAACAAATGAAGGTTTGACATCTGAGTCCCATTTAGATGCTAAAAGAGACAAACTTCATTAATGACTGTTTAATGAAGAATCACCTTGAACTTGCAGGCATAGCAGCTGTGTGTTTAGCTCTGATAAACACCTTTACATGTTTCTGTTAAAACAATCCAACACTCTGAGCACAGCCTCAGCAATGCCCTGGTTTTCAGCTCTCCATCTTTCTCGCTCAGTCCACCTCTGAAGGCACATTAATCATAGCAGTTTCCCACATGTTTTTTCTCCTACTCCTCTTCTTTTTCGCCGTTGCTGGAGGCAACTGGGTCACCATCAACTGTAGGAGCACTTTCAGGGAGCTGAAGGGCTACCAGAGCAAACCATCATGCAGATTTCCTTCTTTTATTAGAACCAAGTCTGAGCGGCTTCCATTGCAGGCCTGGGAATCCAAAACTAGGTGACTTCAGGTTGCAGTGAAACAGCAGGGCTCACTTCTTTCAGATCTGCATGATTCATCCCAATCAGCAGTACAATCAGGAGGATAATCTCCTGCAATGTGGGCTTTCAGTGCTTAGGATGAAACAGAGATATAATTCAAATCTGATCGGAGGCTGAAGAACAGAAGCAGAAAGAAGCAGTTAGCCTGAGGAAAGGCCACCCAGCTCCTCAGCTCCACCTCAAACAGGACGTCATGTTGAATGAGATGAGATCCAGGCTTGAAAAGAAAGAAAAGGGAACTTCTTCATTAATGATTTAGAACTTTAAAGCCTCGACTCGAAGGGAATAAATTAGTGATCACTTCCTGCTGCTGAAACAACTGGAAAAAAATTGAAACACTTGTGAAAAAAACCTATGAGCAGCAGAGAGCTTAGAGGAGACAGATCAGGAGAACAATTATGCAATAATTCTGCAGCTGGACCCTGGCAGACGCTGCCCTCTTGTGGCTAAATATGCACATGACATGAAGCATTAAAAAGTCCTGGTATAGCAATTAACTTTTAAAATCTATAAATTCTATTTCAAACAGTGAAATAAAATTGAAGAGTCTTTTAACCTAAAGAGTAGGAGATACAGTTATGATCTAAACTTTCCTTTGAGTCGTCTTTCGGATCTGTAAATAGAATAAAGCTGCTGAAGGATTTTTTTTTCATCACTGAACATGTTAACCTTTCAAGTTTAAATCTATTCATGTTTTAAAGTCCAACAGAGAAATATTTGAACACTTTGAAACAGTATTTTTTTTTATGAAAGATGACATCGGTGTTACTTCAGGTAAACTTACCTGTTCGATGGTGTAGAGAGAAAAGCAGAATGGGCAGTTCCTCAGCTCGTCTCTGTTCTCCATCCCACCCATAGGTGACGTCATGGCGATGGCATGAAACTGAAGCTCATGTTTAAAGTGAGCCGGATGCAGCAGGTTGTATGAGAAGCTGCAGCAGGAATGTTTTTCCCAGTCTCTCTAGTTTTTACATGAACTTCAGTGTAAAGCCATCACTAACGCATCCGTAACCATAAACCCAAACTAACACCAGCTATATACACGTTACGAAGCACTAAAGCTGCCAACACAGACTTTAAAGCAGTGGTCTCCAACCCTGGTCCTCAAGATCTACTGTCCTACAGATTTTAGATGCATCCCTGATGATTGATTACCTTCTCAAGCCATTCATTTGATTCAGCTGTGTTGAAGCAGGGATGCATCTAAAATCTGTAGGACAGTAGATCTTGAGGACCAGGGCTGGAGACCACTGCTTTAAAGGATCGCATTTTCATTGCAGGCAAAGAGCATCACGACCCAAGATCTGCCTCCAGTCATGCACTGTGTGTGGTGATGTATGAGGAACTGCAGTGACGCAGCTTCTTCTGTCTACCATCACAAACATAAACATCCAAGTTGTGACTGTTTGAGCATCTTCATAAGATGTGAATCAAGCTGCTTGGTATAGATGGTTATAGTATTACAGTTACAACAGCTGCTCGTTGGGGGGCGCTATAGCATCAAGTCGCTCCATTTAGTGGCATAGTGCAGAAAACAAAGAGGAGAGGTGGGGTGAGTTTGATTTCAGAGGCTGCATCCTTGACACGCAAAGCAAAGAATGGATGCCGAACTTCTCACTACTGTTCTAGATGCTAATAACGTTTCTGAGGAGCTTCAGCAGCAGTACCGTCGTCTCCGATATCAGATTTATTGTCCCCAAACTGCAGAGATATTGGAATCTGAGCTTAAATGTCAGCCAACGCCATTAACACAGCTATTTAAAACAACTATTTTCATTAATTTCAGACGGAACTGTTCACATACTTGCATTAAAATGCACTTCCAATATTGATCACTGTTCGGCGCCATTTCCTTTTTTTTCCTCTGAGCACGGAGAAGCAGGCTTGCTTGGACTCGCAATGAATCCTGGGATAACCGAGGCTACGTAGGATACACTGGAACTGCCCTCAACACGGTTAAAAAGAAGAATGCTTTTTTAATGGAACTTTTGCATCTTTTGCACAGTTACGTTCTGAGTATAATCTTCCCCCGTCGATTTTTTTCCGTTATCTGCAGGTACGGGACTATGTTAGGAAAAATTTATCGGATTTTGGAACTTTAACAAAACATGAAACCCTAGAGGAAATAAATAAATTTGATCCTGTCAGTCGGGGGGCTGTCTCACTTTTATAAGATTTTAACAATATATGTGTAGACACAACCAGGATTAAACAGGCATAGGAGGATGAGTTGGGGCAACAGTTATCTGAAGATCTGTGGGAGGAGGGTTTGAAAAGTATTCAATATTGTTCAGTCAATGTCAGACATAATCTCATACAGTTCAAAACTATACAGAGGCTCCATTATTCAAGGGAGAAACTGAGCACTTTCTTTCCTAGTGTGTCTCCGATTTGTAATCGCTGTCGGGTTGCTATTGGTAACCTGACGCACTCCTTCTGGTCATGTGTTCAGCTTCCCTCATTCTGGAAGAAATTTTTTTATTTTTTTTCCAGCAGCTTTCGGAAAAAGCTGGGATCCAGACCCTCTTATTGCCATCATCGGGATCTCCAGCGCTTTGCAACCAGCCACTAAAAGTGAGAAAATGGCTGTCTTGTTTGGTACGGTGATTGCTAAAAGATTGATTTTGAGATTTTGGAAGAAAGACTCTGTGCCCACATTTGATTTGTGGTTGGGAGAACTAGCAAATACTCTGCATCTGGAAAGACTGAGACATTATAAAGAAGATAAGGGCGATGTGTTTGAGAAAATATGGGACCCTGTCCTAAAATTCCTTCAATGAAAAAGTGATTACGACTGACTCGTCACTGCTTAATACCCTGTATAACTTTCCTTTCCTTACATGCTTGTGGAATGCTTTGGATCAATGTAAGGTGTTCTTGTCATGTTGTCTTGACTGTGCAAGTGTTCTATGATGTGCTGTTTTAGGAGGGTAGGAGAAGGGTTGGGATTTGTACTTTTATGTAAATTTTTGTACATTCATCTGGAAAATTTTATTAAAAAAAAGGAGGATGCTTTTGTCGGCCGCATAACAAGAAGTCTTCCAATCCACACAGGCCTCGGCGCCACGCTATGACGTAATCGGCCCATGAATCTAGCCCCTGAGAGGATGCAGCCGCTGGACTCAAACTCAGCAGTAGATGAGACAAATAATATACAAATAATATACATATACTAAAAGTTTTAAGATCAGGTTATTTGTGATAACAGCTACACCCCTCCTTTGATGAACCGGAGCTCAGATGAGCTTTCAATAAGAAACCAAATCAAACCAACTGTGCTTGTTTTAAAGTAGACCGAACAGATCTAGACTGAAAAGGGATTTTAGGTGGAATTTTCCACCCAAAAAGGTCTAGATGGTCTAATTTAAGGAAAACTCTTCTGCCTGTGAAGTAGAGGATCTTTAGGCCGTCAGTCAGTCCTCATTCGCTCCCTCTGCTAAATAAGGATTAATAAAAAGGTTCAGAAGACACAGAACCAACCTCCTTCCAGACATCAGACCTGAATGCTACAGAAACATAAATTATATTAAAAAGATCCAGATGACTTTTCATTATATATTAAACATTCAACCCCTGGTGGTTTTAAGCCAGAAGCAGATAAACAAATCGATGTGAACTGAGATCATCGCTGAGTTTTATTAGTTTCTGTCTGAGATGGTGAAAGATGAGCAGAAAAAAATCTCACCTCTGAAACTTTATTGCACAAAGTTGAGCCTCTGTATCTCAGTAAGGCGTCGCTAACTCAGAAAAATAGAGGCAGTAAAGAAAATACATCATCTGAACATTTTTTTCAGTAGTTTCACTTTTTAAATACATTCGGTTCCTCGTCTTACGGTGGAACCACAAGCTTTTATACAAGTAATTACAGCAACGTACCAGAACCGCAGCTTTACCCTAAACCCGGATCAGTTCAGGAGCTGGAAGCAGCGGAGGCTCTTCGACTGTCAGGAAACCGCAGATTTACAGAGGAAATATACACACATGAACACATCATGTACAGCCCAGGTTCTGATACACATAAATACAGGAGGATCTTAAATACGGCTCTGAATGGCACACATCGATGAAAGAGTTTATATTAAGGTTATTTCTTCATCATCATCATCGTCCTTTGACTTAAACGTGGATGCGGTTTCTCTGCTGAAACCCTTTGGCTTTGCTCGTCAGCTTCCATCAGTGCATAGTTAGAAGTCAGCATTACGATTGGTCAATGTGCAACTTATGAGATCAGGCAGGGCTGGTGCAGCAGCAGGCGGGGGGGTTTGTGGGTGTTCGCCCAGGAAGGCAACGGAAACAGAGATGTTCAGTAGTGTTATTGGAGAGCGGATTAGTCCTTCTGGTCTCTAGGAAATATAAAACTAAAACCAAGCAACAATCCAGCTCCGTATTCTGATAAATAAAAGGTTAGAAACCAAAAACAACGATAAAAGGCTTCTTTTAGATTGACATTCTGAAGTAGTGTCTACTTGGAAATAAAAAGATATTCAAACTCAACAGAAAGTAACTTAATAACAATAATCCCTCCCGCCTCTGTCTGAATGTAAAGATCAGTGAGTTCCGTGGTCTGCAGGAGGAGAAGCTCCGGCTTCTGTAACTCTGCAGCTTTTAGTGTTTTATCACAGAAACGTTTGAACCTGTGGACCAACCCTGAGGGACTCCACTACCAGGCCCCGGTGAGGCACATCAGGACCAAAACATGGATGGTGAGCAGGTAGGCCAGGAAGAAATATCGAGAGCGAGCGCGACTGGTCAGCAGCCTGGAGAAGTAGAGGCTCCGCCCTCTCAGCCACCGACGGCACGCCACCATACCACCTTTCACCTGAGGGGAGGGGCGTGGGGGGACAAAACCATCCATTAGCACAACATTTAAAAGGACACAAAGAAGACGTTTGCTGTTCTAAGAAACGTTTCTGGCTGGTTCTATGGTTTATATTAGATGCTTAATGTGAGAGACATAGTCAATGCAGGCCAATAACGCCAGTATCCACAGTCTCTGCCTCCTCATCAGGAGAGACTCCATTAAACCTGCTGACTGGATGCATTCGCTGGTTTTTCTTTGATAAAAAACTTAACATTTTTTATTTTTCTATTATTTTCTTTTCCTACTTGCTTTCATTCTGTTTTATTTTCCTAAGTTTAATCATGGAAAGCACTTTGCATTATCTTTGTACTGAATTGTGCAATACAAATAAATTCACCTTGCCTTTCCTTAACCAGATCAAAAGGAGCAGAATTTAATCTCTTAGTCCAGAATAAACCCATAAATCCAGTCCTACAATTAATTCAGGGTATGCTAACATGTGCTAACTTAGCTTTTTATTAGCTGCACTCTAATGTGTGGCAGTCCACACCAGACCAGTGCCAAACTGGAAACAGAAAAGAAACAAGAGGCTGAGGAGCCACCTGTGTAGGGCAAGCCCAGTGGTCATATAATACAGTGCTCTGGCAAGTAAATGTGTATTTATTTCCTATTCCTTTTTAATTTTTTATTTCTATATAAGCCAGGATGCCAAAAGAAATCAGTTCAGGCTTCAACTAAACTTTATATCATTTTATGAGGTTAATGTCAAACAACAAATAGTTTATTGCTGTATTATTTTTATACCTGAAAGTTTTAGATTAAAGTCTTCTGTCTGACTTGCAGCCAGTAGGGGGCAATGCTGAGCTCAAACTGGATCAATAACCATAGATTTCCACAAACAGTTGGCTGTGCTCAGCTGCTCAAAAACTAAAACACCCACCAAAATAAATATGGAACACAGAAACATTTTTTTTTTATTTTAATGTTTGTAGGAATGTTGTGAGAATATTAATCAACAAACAATAGTAAAGTAGTTTTTTTTAGCAAATCTTTGCCTAAATTATCAAATGAAGGACTGAAGGATTAACATGATGACTTTTAGACAAATGTTCCTTTAATAGGGTAATGCAGTAAAGCTTCTGGCCTTAAAAATGTCCCTGCATTACTTCTACTTTTATACTTTAAGCAGTTTTTTAAAATGTTACTTTTACATCTTTACTGGCATCTTTACTGGAGTAAAAACCTAAGTTGATTCTCTAACTTCTACAAAAGTGTTTTAAACAGTACCCAATACCTTTGTCACCTCTGATTGTGAATATGATGTTATTAGTCAGAGTCCTGTTGACTCAGATGTCTGCTTGGAATTTATTCAATCAGCAATAAACTAGAGAAATGTTCATAACCCAAAACTGACAGTTATTTACCTTCCGTGTTATTAGAGGCTGATTTGGGTTGAGGCTGAGAGCTTCCCACTCCTCCTCTGCCTCCATCTCGATGCTGAAGTCCCTCTGATTGTCTCTGGATAGGCCGGATCCAGCACTGCTCCACACAAACAGATCGTAAAGCTTATTGCAGCAGGTTTTAAACCCTGTGTCCATGGGAAATCAGTAAGAGACTCACCTCTTAGCTCTGTCTTCAGCCAGCCGCAGAGCCTCTTCAAGCGTCTCTCTTCTCGCTCGTTCGTCAGCTAAAATCAGCTCCACCTCCAGCAGCCTTCACACACAGACACCATCATAATTTAATGGTTTTACAGAATGAAATAAGGAGAAAAAAAACAAGACCTTATCTCGTCACCTTTCTCGGAGCTGGCTGGCTTCGGCGGCCTCGCGGACCGTGGAGTTGTTGCTCCTCTCCTGTGGAGCTCCAGGAGCCACTTCAGTGTAGGCCGAGCCCTGCTGTATGCAAACACGTGGCTTTAATGAGACATCAGTCAACAGACACACCTCTGGTTGTGGCCAGAGCCTTTTAAACATTTTCTCCTCTAAATATGCATTTTCGAATTCTCCCGAGTGATGCCCGAATTTACACGAGTGAATGAAGTGAATGTGATTGGTCGTTTATCAAGGGGATTATTGTGGCGGAAGGTTCGCAAGCAGGGTTGGTTGTGGCTGGTTTGTCGGAAGCATCTAGCTAACCAGTTAGCAACTTAGTACTAGTAGGTTTCCAATGGGAAATTCCATTGGGACCAAGTAGCACTAAATAGGTGACTTAGAAACGACACTGTCAAGGAACGCTGTGGACAGCGGAAACATGCAAGAGGAGGAGAGTTTAGTGTTGGAGGTCGTGGATGAGTCTCCTCCGTCATTCATTTTTTATTTAGAGGAGGAAAGCGGGGACGAAGATGTTGTGGAAGAGGACGCCAGGGCGGCAGAAGCTTGGTTTGGTGTAGAAGGCTTCCAGCCGTACATGTTTGAGCCATTTCCTTGCAACGCTGCCAGTTCTGTCAGCTCTACGCCTGCCGAAGACACAGACGTCCATCCCCGTGAACACTGGGACGGAACTCAATGGGAAAGGAAATGATTTTTATTTCTTATTTCTACTGCTGAGTATATTAGCTCCGACATATGAATCAAGATGCTATGACCGAAAAAATTTGATTGAAAGATGATTGTTGATAGAGTTGAAACATCCAGGACCCTTTGAGCAATTTTACCTGGCCTTGGATTTGGCTCTCCAGCCAGTGGCAGCGGTTCTGAGTTTCCCGGAGCGTTTGGGAAACGGCCCTCAGCTGACCTGCTACAGCAGCTTTCTCCTCCAACACCTGCTGCAGCTGCAGAGAGGAAGATTGGGGATGAAGATGAGTGAACAGAATATCCAGCATAGGTTTAATATAAGCTGTAATCCTCCTCCAGAGGAGCTGAACTGTTTCATACCTTGGTGTTGAGTTGCTGGAAGTACTGGTCCCGTTGCTGGATGTCATAAACGCAGCGCTGCAGGTCGCTGTAAAGCTGCATCTTCTCAGCCTCTAATCGACTCACTGTGTCCTGCTGATTACTCTGACCGGCCAGCACAGCTTGTTCTTTCTGCATGGATGGAAACAACTAGATTAAAAAAGATATATTTTTTTTCTTAATTCATATTTTGGGAATTTCAGTCAGGCTAAAATGTGTCCTGAAACAACAGAAGACTACGGATCAAGAAGACTTGAAAATAGTCTGAATATTTTAAAGGAAGAAATAAAAATAGAGAAAAGAAAGCACTCAGAAACAGATAAAAGTTTAAAAATGTTATAAAAGCAGCTTACTTTAATGGCCAGAGGTTCCTTCCTCTCAGCTTCAGATCTAGACAGAAAATAAATGTATTCTTAATATGAGGAACTGGCTCAAAACATTTCACACAGAGTCAGTAAAAAACTAAAAGGCCCCGTCAGTGGAAAAGGTGATTAGAGACAAGTGCAAAGGGTTAACAGAAAAGTTTTTACTTAAAGACACACCGCGGACTTTGTGGCCTAAAAAAATTATGCATATGAGTTATTTTAAATGATTCCTCGGGCCAATATACAGCACTTGACACCATCAATGCTACAACACTACGCTCTTGAAATACAGACTAATTTAAGATGGGAGAAGATGCACCATCATTGACCAGGTCATGTGACCTGAAAGAACGTATCACTTTACAGCCACAGGCTCTTATATTGTCATGGAGCTAAGGCTTTTGCTCTACTGTTTTTCCGCTATTCTGTCTGATTGACTGATCTTTAAAGTGAGATAATGTGTTCTGAATTGGCGCTATAGAAAAACAATTGTATAGAATTTAATGACAATCTAATTTACATCAGCTAACTAATGTAAGAAAAAGTCACAGAAGTTTGTAGTTATGTGGAGTTTGGAGATTTGCTCTCTAAACACAAAAATAAAATGGAAACACTCTAAACATGTTCAAGCTAAGGTATAAAACTGGATTTTCTTGCATGTTCAGTAGAGCTGTTACCTCAGATCTGCTGAGTTTTCCAGGAAGCTGCCGACTTCACTGCGAGCAGTTTGGTGGACCTCATCCGTTTTTGTTCTCATCTGTGGTAGAAAATAAGCTGTTAATAATATTCTATGCAGTTTTGGAGAAACAGATTTATAGCTAAACACAAAATTAAACAAAAAAAGAAACTAAGCAATTCAAAACAATTATTAAAACAATCTATACAGGAAAACAGTCAACCATCTGACATGCAGCAAGCTGCTAAACTGAAATGAGCAAATCAACAGAAAACCAACTGCTTGGAAGCTGATTTTTCTATTGATTTTCAACACAAATTATATAGAAAAATTAACAAAAGAAAAAACAGTTAATCAGAGGAAAACCGAAAGCTAATCACCTAAAAAAACCCAAACAGCCAATCAACAAAACGACAGTCGGCCCAAATGATCTACAGATACAAATGATAAATAAGAGGAAAATTAACAGCCAATCAACGGAAAGCTGACAGCCAACTAAAAGAAAACCAACAGCCATTAGCAGCCAATCAACGGAAAGCCAACAGCTATCAACAGCCAACTAAAAGAAAACCAAAAGCCAACTAAAAGAAAACCAACAGCCAACTACAAGAAAAACAACAGCCATTAGTAGCCAATCAACAGAAAACCAACAGCTATCAACAGCCAACTAAAAGAAAACCAAAAGCCAACAAAAAGAAAACCAAAAGCCAACAAAAAGAAAACCAACAGCCAATCAAAACTAACCAAGTAGTCAACCAACATCTTATCAACAGACTTCTCGCAGTCAGCCAGCAGCCAAACAGTATCAAGTTGAAGGCTCCACTTACCAGTCCATCATTTTCATCTTCAAGGGCTCTGACGATTTTTTCTTTTTCCATCTTCCGGGTATGAACCACCTCTGGACCGGACCCTGGCTTTGATTCAGCCACTCTTTTGGCTCCGGCCAGCTCTTCCATCAGCCTGTCACGATCATCCTGCAGACTTGCCATGGATCTGGAGAATGCGGACAGCTGTCTGCTGTAGGCGTTGTTTTCAAGAACCGCCTTTTTCAGCTCTCGTTCCTTCTCAGACAGGCCCTTCGAGAGTTCATCCAACAACTTGCTCAGTTCTCCATGTGCATCTTTGCTCTCCATAGCTTTTAATTTGAGAATGAGAACGTCTCTCTCTTTAGCAAATCCGGCCAGGTCAGAAGATGCGTCCTGCAGACTGCGCTCAACCCTATTTAAGGCCACTTGACTCTGTCGGAGTTCTTCGTCGTACCTGTTCCTGAGAGTCTTGAAGTCCTCGATCAGCTGATCTCGGTCGTTCTGCAGAGCAGCCATGGCTTTGCACAGAGATTCATTCTGAGCCTTCAGGTCTTTGCTTTGGGATTTTTCTTCTGTAAGCTGCTGCTCCAGATCAAGAAGTTCTTTGGAGAGTTCAGCTACTCTTTGATCTGCCGTCTCACGCTCGTTTCTCATCAGCTCCACCTCCCGCTCAAAGGCGTCCAGCTCATTGTTATATTTGTCCTCAGCTTCAGTAAGCTTTTTCTCCGTCTCACTTTCCAACTGTTGCATTCTGCTTTTGAGCTCATCGAATATTAATTTCTGGGAGAGTACCTTCTGCTGGAGGTCGTTGCATTCAGACGCCTTGGCTGCCACTGCATCCTGTAAATTGATGATTACTCTCCCCTCATTGGTTGTCCCTCTTTCAGCTTCCAATTTGGAAACTTTACCCTTAAGTTCATCATTCTCCACTTTAAGTGCAGTACTTTCTTCTTCTTTATCTTGCAGTTCAAGCTGAGACTCTCTGAGCTGCTTTTCGGTAGCAGCTGTTTGGATTTCTAGATTTTTGATTACGTCCTGCTGTTTTTGAAGCAGAACCTTCGCTTGGTTGTCTTTGAGTGACAGCACCTGATTTAAATCCTCTCTGTAGCGCACCAGTTGAGCCCTGAGCATGGCGTTCTCCGAGTTTAGATCATCCATCTGATGTAGCAGCTTCCTGATTTCATGCTTAAAGCCTTTGCTTGCAGTGCCCTCGCCATTGAGGGATCCTTCTTTATCTTTCAAGCCCAGCTGACTCTTTGCCTCCAGTAGTCTGTTTTCAGACATCAGTCGATCACATTCACTCTGTAAGGAAACCATTGAGTTCTTGAAGGACTCGATCTTGGACTCCATCTGTTCCTTTTCTTGAACCGATCGACTCACTTGAATTTCCAGACTTTTGACCTTAGTTTGCAGTGCTCTCATCTCTTTGTCTAGCTTCTCCCGTTGATAGCGCGAAGACGTGAGCCTGTCCTCGTAAACGGACGCCTGGCTGCGATAATTAGCCTGGAGTTGCTCCAGATAGCCGGACATCTGGCCATCTTTGCAGGAAAGCAGGGAGGAGATCTCTGCATCTTTGCCCTGAAGGAGAGTCTTCAGTTGGAGGGAAATGCCCTGCTGCTTCTCAAAGTCTGCTTGACTTTTGTCCCGTTCGGCCTGTAAACTTTGCAGCTGAGCTTCTGTGTCGGCGTTTAGCTTCTCCAGCTGCTCTAGGCGAGGCAGCAGCTGGGACAGCTCATCTTCTCTGTCAGCGAGCCGTTGGGTCAGACCGTTTTTCTCTTGCTTTAAGTTTTCCACTTGCCCGGCCAGCTCCTTCACTTGAAGAGTCACAAGCTCCGAATTCTCACTCAGTTCAGCGTTGGTTGCGCTTATGATGAACATCTGTCGCTGATGAGCAGCAGAAGCAACCGAATACTCATTTAGTGTCCTTTCCAATCTGACTTTAGCTACTTGAAGTTCGTTCAGCTCCTTCTCTTTCCTCCGGAGTTCCTCCAGGGTCCTTGTGATGGTCGAGCCTTGTTCCAGCAGTTGGTTGTCTTTCTGATGAAGGCTCTTCTGGTATAAATCATCCCAAAGTTTGGAGGTCTCAGCTCCATGTGGAGTGGATGTCAAAGCAGAAAGCTTAGCTTCACTGGTCTCAGCCGCTCTCCTCAGAGTGTTTATCTGGAGATCTTTAGAGTCCAGCTCCTTGAGAAGTTCATCCAGTCGTTCTCTTTCTTTCTCCCTGACATTCTTCAGCTCGCCCAGTTGTTGTTGTAGCTGATTCTGTCTCCTTGTTTCTTCTGTGTTTTGGGATGATTTGCTTTCCTCCATCTCTTTAACATGCTTTGATAGCTGAAAAGCCAGCTGGTCCCTTTCAGACTCAACACTTGTGATCTTTTTCTCTGCCTCCTGGTGGAGTTTTCTGATCTTTACCACCTCTGATTCAAGGCGCACACTTCTCTCCCCAGATGCCGACATCTTCTCTGAGTTCTTCTTCAGCTCCTTCTCCAAATGTTCACAAGTTGACTGCGAGCTCTTCAGAGAGCTTTCCAGATCTAAAATCACTTCTTGGTATCTGATGCAGTTCTGCTGGAGCTGATTTATCTCCTGATGCTTTTCTTTTAGCAGCTCTTGCAGTTCCTTCTTCACGTTCTTTGAGCCGTCACTTCCCCTCTGGGCGGTCTTGAGTTTTTCCTCAAACTCTCGAACTAGCTTGAGCTGCTCCTGTTCTTTTTCCCGCCGGATCTGGTCGCCCATCTCACTGCTCGCTGCGAGCTGAGTGCTCAGCTGAGCGTTCTGAGTTTGCAGGACGCTTACAGATTCCGTCAGCTCATCGATTCTTTGTGAATTCTTCAGGATCACCGTTTCCAGGTACTCGTTTTCATTTTTCACTTGGTCTGAAATCTCCTGGGTGTTCTCGAGCTCCTCCTGCAGAAGTGACTTGTCATCCTCCAGGATTCTCACCTTTTCGCTAAGACTGATGGCCTCTTGGCTGTGCCTGTCGATGATGCCCCTGAGCTCTTTAATCTGCTCGTCTTTCTTTGCCAACTCCAGCTCCAGATCTTTCTGAACTGCTTTCAGTCTTTCAGATAGATCGGTCTTCTCCTTCTGTAACAGATTGCTTACTTCCAGCTGTGCGCTCAGTTCTGTTTTTTGTGCTTCGATCTGAGCCGTCAGTGAATTATTCAAACTGAGAGCCTCGTCTAATTTTAACTGCATGTTGTTTACATTTGTGTCGGACTCAAAGAGCTTCTCCTCAAAAGAACAAGTCGCTGCCTCAAGTCTATCTGCCAGGCAGATGTTTTCCGCCTGAATCTCTGCAAGTTTCTCTCTCCGTTCGGAAAGTTCGGCCTCCAGCTGCTGGTTTTTGTCTCTCAGTTCGCCCTCTGTGATTTTATGGCTTCCGTCAAGCTCTGAGATTTGTTTTAGAAGATTCTGATTCTCTTCCTCCAGCTTCTCAATCTTCTGGCGTTTCTCTTTAGAAAATTTCTGCATCCTCTCTTTAATGCTCTCGTTTTCCTCCTGCGCCTCCCGGGCTTTCTTTTCAAGGACCTCCTTTTGAGTCTCCTCTTCATGCATTCTTCTCAGGACCTCCTGCCGCTCTCTCTTGGCTCCCTCCAACAGTTCCCTCATCTTGTCCATTTCACTGCTCACGTTTTCATAGGCTTGTAGCAGAGATTCGTACTCTTGCTTCAGCTCGGCGTGCTTTGACTTCCACTTTGACAGCTCCTCGGTTTGGGAGTCCTTGAGCGACTCGAGCTGGCAGGAGAAGGCCTGTTTCTGCTGCGTGATGCTTTCGATGGTTAGCTTCAAACTGTCGCAGGCTGCAGAGAGGCTGTGGTTGTCGTTCAGGATGCGATCCACCTGTGCGGCCAGAGCATCCCGCTCTTTCATGGCAGATAAGGCAGAACCTTCCAGCTCCACATTCTGTTGGTTCACCTTGGACAGGGATGCTTTCAGGTCCAGGAACTCTGCTTCCTTAGCTTCCTGATTAGCAGACAACTTTTCAACTTCTTCCTTCAGTGAAGTGTTTTCCTTCATGAGATCTTTCCTGGACACTAAAGCTGCTTGAAGTTTTCTGGCTAAAAGTTTGGCTTGGTTATCCAGATCCTTCATCTTGGTGTTATCGTCATGAGATTTCTGAAACCCCTCAGCTTCGGTTCTCATCTTTTCCACAGTGAGCTCATGCATTTTCATTTGCTGCTGTAACTGGAGCTCAAGCGAAGCAATAAGTTGATCTTTTTCAGAAACTTGAGCCTGGAAAGCTGACAGAGTTTCGTCTTTCTCCTTCAATTTCCCTTCAAAGGTTTCCAAACCACCGCCAGGAGAACTAAGATGGTCTTTATTACCCTCATCTTCCTCCTCTGGAAGCTGCTCCTTTCCTTTCTGCTCCTTCAGTGAGGCCATCTCATCTCGGAGCACACTGATGCATCTATCAAAGTTTTCTTTTTCCTGCTTCAACAAATTCAGTTCTTCCTTGAGTTGGATGAAATTTAGCTTGGCATTTTCAGCTTCTTCTTTCAGAACATTTTTTTCTTGCTCAGTTTCCATTAACGTTTTTTGGACGGTTAAATACTCTGAAGATTTCTGCGAAACCGCTTCATCGAGTTCTGCTCTCAGCTGACTGCTTTGCTCTAAAGCGGCGTCTCTTTCCTTCATCAACATGTGAAGTTTTTCCTCGTTTGCACGCCTTTCTTCTCTGAGCTGGGCTTCTAAGTTCACACTTTTCTCTGCTAACACCTGCTGCTCCTGTTGGCTAACTTGACATCTTTCCACCTCACGGGTTTTCTGTTCTGCCTGGGCTTTCTCCAGGTTATTTTGCACAATCTGCAAAGTGGATTTTAAAGCAGCTTCTCTTTCCTCCATGCTCTCATATCTGGACCTGACAGCTTCCAGCTCTGTTTGCAGAGACGCCTCGATGTCTTGCAGGGATCTATTCTTCTCCTCGACAAGCTGCCTTAAGGAGTTCATGTCATCTTGATACGAAGCAGAGGTTTTATGCAGCTTCTCCAGCTCATCCGTTTGCAGCCGGTGTCGCTCTAAGAGAACCTCATGCTCTTCCTTCAGCTCAGATAGTTCTTGAGTCAGTTTCTTCTCGTTTTCTTGAGCTTTCTTTAGCGTTTCTTTGCGTGCCAGCAGAGCAGCCTGAGCTTTTTTCTGCATAGCTAATTTTTCTAACTTCGTCTGCTCCAGCTCCTTCTCTAGATCTGCAGTGTGGGAGGAAGACTTGTCCTTCAGCTCATCGTTGCAGGCCTTCATTTCATTTTGAAGCTCTTCTAGTTTCTGTCTCAAATGGTTCCTGTCTTGTTCGAAGTCATCCGCTCTGGACTGAAGCTCCTCAATCTCAGAGGTTTTCTCACCGACTTTTTGTAAAGTCTCACACAAGCGTGCCTCTTTTTCCATCAACATATTCTGTAAGGTTTGCTGTTCAGACTTTAGTTGCTCTGCAGTTCTTTCACTCTCTGCCTTAAGAACAGAAATCTGTTTTTCATATGTTTGTTTCATTTCATCCAACTTTTCCTGCAAAACAAACATTTTATTCTTCTCTCCTTCTTCCTGTTGCCGCTTGTAGTCTTCCATCTTTTTCAGCAGATCTTTTCTTACGACCAGAGCGGCCTGCAGCTTCTTCTTCAGAGCCTCCTTCTCTTTGCGCAGATCCTCGGCTTCCTTTGCGAGCTGAAGCTTCTCCGAGTTCTCTTTTTGAAAGCTTGAGAGCCGTTCCTGTAGCTGCAAAGACATCTCTGTCTGAGCGTGCTCCATGTTCTCCAGCTGTGCTGAGAGGGAACCAACCTCCTCAACCAGCTTCAGCCTCTCGTTTGAGGCAGACTCGATAACCTGAGCGATGGAGGCGTCTTTATCCTTCAACTGCTGACTCAGAGAAGAGAGCAGCTCCTTCTGCTGCCTGATCTGGAGGCTCAGGCAGCCGATCTGTTCATCTCTTGCTCTCAGCAACAATGTGTGTTTCTGTACTTCTGCATTAAGCTGAGCCTGGATGTTCTCTAGAGTTTCCTTTTCTTCTTCGTCGTTGCTCCTTTCTTTCTGCAGCTGTGCAGAAGATTCTGCCACGTCCATTTTTAAGGCACTGATCTCAGCATCATGGCTCTCTTCTACCTGCTTTATTAATTCTTGTAAAGTCGACTTTTCTTCATTTACTTCAGCGGATCCACCTGATGAATCTCTTTCAGCTTCAGCTCTTGTAACAATTCTCCGTAGCTCAACTTTAGCAGCTGCTAAAGAGCGCTGCAAGCACTGGTTCTCATCCTCCTTTTTCTGGACGGATGCTAACAGCCCCTCCAGCTGGACTCTGGTCTCTGCGGCCTCCAGCTCTTTGGCGCTCAGCTGCTCAGAGCTTTGCATGACTGCAGCCAAAGCCTCTGCTAGTTTCTCCTGCAAACTGTCCAAGTCCTCTTTCAAAGCATTAACTTTAACATCTTTAGATCTCATTTCATTTTGGAGCCTTTCTAACTGTTCTGCCAGCTGAATCTTGTCCTGCTTCTCCCTGTCCAGCAGCGACAGCCACTCTCTCTCTGAATCCTGCAGAATCTGCTCTACTTTTTGTACGTTTTGTTTTAACTCAGACACCTCTCTATCTTTGGCACTAACCTGGGTTTGAAGGCTCTCCATCTCCAACATCTTTTGCTGCAGCTCCTGATGACGGTTCTGCTCCAGCTCCTCCTTCTCTGCCTTGACTTTTCCAACTTCTCCCTGCAGCCTGCGGTGCTCCTCCTTGGCCAGGCGCAGCTCCTCGCTCAGACTCCTGTTGTTCTCTTCCAATCTTTGAACTTGGGAGAGCAGCTGTTGGGCCTGAGCGCCGTACTGGTTGTTTATGGCGTGGAGAGCCATTTCTCTCTGCTCCAGGTTCTCTGTCAGTGCGCTCATCTGTCCCGCCACCTGAAGATGTTGGGATTTTAGTCGTTCTATTTCGACCGTCAGCTGATTTACTCTGGCTTGATGCGATTCTAAAGCTTTGTCTTTTTCTTGGGACAGGCTGGAGTTCAGAGCTTCGATTCTGTCCAGTTTGTCCCTGATTTCAGACACCTGGTTTCTCAGGGTTTCTATGGTGCTCTTTGAAACCTCGTGTTCTCTGCCGGATTCATCTAGCTGTCTTCTAAGTTTGGACACCTCCTCCGTCCTTTCAGAGAGGCTCTTTCTTACATCCTGGAGCTCTTCTAGGTTCACAGCGTATTTCTCCTGCAGGTTGCTGAAAGCGCTCTGGGTCTCCTCAGCAGATCTTTTCAGGGTTTCAGACTCAGCGGACAGCAGCTCGATCTGACTCTGCAGCTGAGACGCCATCTCCGTGCTCTCCATGAACTGAGATTTGAAGAGCGAGGCTTCGTCCGCTCTCCTCTTAGCTTCCACCACAGCCTTGGATTGCTCCAGGAGAGCAGCCTCCTTTTCTTCCACAGCCTTGCGGAGACGTTCCGCCTCCGAGGCCTGGACCTGCACGGAGCTGCTGAGCTTAGAGAGGGATTCCTCCAGGTGTGAAACCCTTTCTTTGAGGTTCTCGCACTCGGATTCCTTGGCCTGCAGATGGGAACTGAGATTTTCCACGGCGGCAGAAGAATGAGTCTGATACTCCAGGCTGGAAAGCTCCTTTTTCTCCAAGGCGGTCTTTAATACGCTGGACTCTGAGGTCAGACTCTGAACCTGAGCTCTGAGTTCGGCAGCCGTATCCTCCAGCTCTGAAAGCTGTTTTTGTAACTCGGCGTTGTGATCTTTGCTCTGCTTCAGCTGCTCATTGATCTGCTGGATGCAAGCTTCCAGGTCTCCCAGCTTCTCCTCCTTCTCCTGCAGGGTCAACTTCATCTCCTCTGTCTGTGAGCGTCCGTCTCTGAGCTGGTTGTCTCTGTCAGAGATTTCCTCTCTCAGGCTGCTGATGAGCAGCTGTGATGCAGACAGCTCGCTCACCATTTTCTGGAGCTCAGTCTTCAGCCTGCCGTTCTGGTCGGTCAGGGCCTGGATGTTGTCTCTAAGGTCGGTCAGCTCAGTCTTGCTCTGCAGCTCCTCCTGCAGCAGCTGTTGATTCTCTGCAGAGAGTTTCTGCACCGAAGCTTTTAAGGTTGAAATCTCGGCCTCCATCTCTGCAGCGCTCTCGTTCATGGCGCCAAGCTCGGTGCTGAGTGAAAAAACTGACTGGTTTCGATTCTGCAGCTCGTCTTTCTGACTCTGGAACTCCTGCGTGATTTCGTCCAACGCCAGCTGCGTCTGCTCCAGATGCTGTTTGACCTCAGAGGTTTCTCTCCTGAGCGACTCTACTTCTTCTTGCAGCATGGCTTTCTGGTTCAGCATGACATCTTTCTCCATCAGCGCTGACTTCAGGACGGCTCCCTGCTCCTGAAGCATGGATACGGTGTCCTGAAGCTGCAGCAGCTGGTTCTGCTGAGCTTCCAGCTGTGATCTCTGCTCACTGACCGTGTCCTCCAGGTGCTTCAGCTGATCAAGCTGTTCCTGTAAACTCTGGAGGACGTCTTCCTTCTCTTGGAGTGCTTTGGATAGGAGAGCGCATTGGTTAGTCTTCTCCAGCAGACCTGCAGAGCTTGATTGTTCGCTTTCTTTCAGGATCTTGGTCAGCTCCTCCTTCTCCTTGGTCAGATCCCTGATTATCGTCTGATTGTCTGCGATCTGGTTCTGCAGGCTGGAGGTTTTCTCCTCCAGGGAATTTTTCTCAGCTGTTAGATCAGAAACAGATCTACTGTTTTTTTCTAACTCCTCTTGTAATCTTTGATTGTTGTCCGTCAGACCAGCGATCTCAGCCGCCATCTTGGAGTTCTGCTCAGCAGAAGCTTCTAGCTTTTCTGTTAGCTCAGAGGCGGCCTGTCTCTGCAGGTGAAGCTCCTTTTCTTTGGCTTCACAAGCAACCTGAAGGCTCTGCTTTTCCTCGGTGAGCGCCTGGAGACTGGAGTTTAATGCATCCAGCTCAGTTCTCCTCGCCTCAGCCTCCGACTCCAGTTTTCTGGTGTTTTCTTCGAAGACGTGGATTTGCTGGCTCAGAGACTTAACAGCTTCGTTTCTTTCGTTCAGTTGGTCTTTGTGAGTTTGACACACGTCTTCCTGCTCTTCGAGTCGTCGCCTCGACTCGCAGAGCTCTTCGTTCAGTCGGGATCCTTCGTTTTTCTCCATTTGGATTTCAGTCTGTAGTTTGGAGCTTTCTTCTTCTCTCTGTTTCAGCATCGTGTCCTTCTCCATCAGCGCCGACCTCAGGCTGGATTCTTGTTCTCGGAGCAGAGCCATTGTCTCTTCGAGCTCCATCTGCAGATTTTGCTGCGCTTTAATTCTTTCCTGAAGCTCAGCGGTGGCCCGCTCCTTTCCCTCCACTTCCAGCTTCATCCGGGTGACCTCCTCCTCCTTTTCCCTAAGTACCTGCAGCAGGCGGCTGCATTCGTTAGTTTTTTCCAGCAGGATCTCTGAGTTGGAGTGCGTGCTTTGCTCGATAACTCTGTTTAAATCCTCCTTTTCTCTTTGCAGCCCCTGGATGATTGCGTTACTCTCTGACAGCTGCGTCTCCATTGCGGATACTTTGGTTTGCAGAGAATCTCTCTCTGCTGTAACGTCAGAAAGGCTTTTGATGTGTTCGTTTACTTCCAGCTGGAGCTTGTGTCTCTGTTCGGTGACAGACTGAACCTGCTCCTCCAGACTGCCGTTAAGTTGCAGAGCAGACGCGAGGCGTTCATGGAGCTCGTCTCTTTGACACTTCTGAAGCTCCAACTCTTCATTCAGACCTTTGAGTTTGACCTCCAGCTCCTGCTTTTGGGTTTCTGTGTCATTTAGGGCCTTCTGTAGTCCAGAGATGCTCTCAGATCTGTTTTTAAGCTCAATGTTCAGCCTCTCCTTCTCAGAGACGAATGTCTTCCTTTCATCTTCCACCTGTTTATCTGACGCCCTTATTTGGTCTTCCAGAGATCCTATGGCTTCCAGTTTCCGTTTAATCTGCTCTTCGCTCTCCTCTAACTTAGCAGCCAACTCCTGAACTTGGTTGTCGTATTTTTCCACCTGAGCTAAAAGTTTGTTTTGCTCTTTTTTAAAGGATTTGAGCTCCCGTTGGTGCATCTGTTCCTTATCCTCTAGTTCCTGCTGTAGCTTTTCTCCCATGGTGGTTTTGCCCTGAAGCTGCAGGATCCTCTCCTCTGACTCCTGGAGCTTTTGTGCTGAGAGCGTGAGCTGCTCCTTCAGGGAGGAGATGTGAGTTTCACATTCAGAAAGATGATTTCTGTGACCTGATGTCTGTTTCTGGATCTCCCCTCGAAGTTCCTGGATGGTTTTCTTATCGTCGTCGACCTGCTTCAGCAGGCGCTTCACCTCGGCCGCTGCAGACTCTCCTTCCTCCTTGGTTTTCTGCAGCTCCGTCTCGGCATCCTTCAGCTTCTCGACCAGATCTGTGATTTTGCCGTTCAGGCTTTGCTGGTCGGAGTTCTGCGAGTCTCTGATGACAGCGGCCTCCCGCTGCGCCTTGCTCAGAGCGTTCTCCAGCTGGATCAGGCTCTCCTCTTTCAGTTTGATCTCCTGCTTGAGAACGCCCACCTGCTCGGCGTACTCTGCCATGTTTCCGGCCATGCTGGATATCTCTCTGTCCTTTTCCGACAGAACATCCTTCAGACCATCTATTTCCCGCTCGCGGCTCTGGAGGTCGTGGATGAGCTGAGCACGCTCCTCCAAGTGGGCGCTGTTTAGCTTGTCCAGCTCCTCACCCGTCTGGTCCAGCTCCGTTTGCAGCGTTTCTATGGTGACCTCTTGTTTCTGTGCCTAAAGATAAAGAGAAGGGGGAAAAAAAAATCAGTTTTCACCATTTCTAAGGCTGCAGCTAACGACTGGTTTGCAAATCAATTAATTATTTTTCAATTAACCGATTAATACTCAGATAGCCAAATGTTCCTTTAAGAAGACTTTTTGCAAAGTTAAACCAGCTGAAACTAAAACTTTTCCACTTGAGGAGTTCTGGATAGATCAGATTGACAAACAAAAAGATTTTTATCTTAATGTTTATATATTTTTTACAATCTTACTTTAATTACTGCTCTAAGTGGATTGCTCTGTCATACCTTGACGATTTAGCCAATGTATGCCGAGGTACGAAACATTTGGCTAAGCACTTCCATACTAGCCTCGTGAGACCATCCTGATTAGCGAGCTTTCAAGGCTTCACTTTGGAAAATTTGGAGCCGTTCACCAAACGAATGTCCAATCAGCGTTGGCTTTGAGGCGGTTTGAGGTGTGACGCAATTAGAAGCGCGACAGTTCAGTCTACAGAACATGGCGGCTTCAGCCGATGGAACTAGCGTTAGCGTGGCTATCGAGCAAGTTTTATCGGAATTACAGAGTGTTTCGTCACTGAAAGAAGAGCAAAACACTGCTCTGGAGGCTTTTCTCAGAGGAAAAGATGTTTTTGCTCTTCTCCCGACTGGTTTCGGCAAGAGTAGCCTGGCTTGTGGTTGTGTTTTCGTCGTCGCTCTCTTATGTCATATGCTTCATTGATCTGATTGGTTTATTTGGCCCGTCTATCACCAACATAGGCCAATCAGCTAACCAGTATTTTCGCCCCTTCCCAAAATTACTTCAACGGAAGGTTTCCAGATGGATATGCGGAGCCTATGTTGGTGATAGACGGGCCAAATAAACCAATCAGATCAACGAAGCATATGACGTACCAACAGAGCGACGACGAAGAGGAGCCAATTGATCGATCAAACTCTTGCCGAAACCAGTCGGGAGAAGAGCAAAAACATCTTTTCCTCTGAGAAAAGCCTCCAGAGCAGTGTTTTGCTCTTCTTTCAGTGAAGAAATACTCTGTAATTCCGATAAAACTTGCACGATAGCCACGCTAACGCTAGTTTCATCGGCTGAAGCCGCCATGTTCTTTAGACTGAACTGTTGCGCTTCTCGTTGAGTCACACCTCAACCCGCCTCAAAGCCAACGCTGATTGGACGTTCGTTTGGTGAACTGCTCCAAATTTTCTTTAACGGAGAGTCTCCAGACTGATCTGCTAGTGAAACCTTTAAAGCTCGCGAGATCAGGATGGTCTCACGAGGCTAGCTCCTCGTGTCACTTTATAAATATTTACAGGCAGAGAAGTGAATAAAAAGTTAAAATTAGTTGGAAATGAGACAAATGACTTTATCCTCCAGCTTAAAGCATCTCCATAGCAACCAATGGCTTCTCTCCACAGTCCATCTGGTTGTCTGGGACAACTTATCACAAAACACAGAGAAACAAAAACTATTATGAAGAAGAAAAAAAAACACAGTGGAGGACTTATGATGCTGTGGGCTTGTTTCTCCTCTTATTTTCCCTGGTAACCTTGTTAGAAAACTGATCATAAACTATTTGAAGTTAGAGACTGGATGATTAATGGATTTAAAAAAGGCTGAAAGCAGGACACATTAACTTTCTGACTGCAGCCCTTTAGGCAAGGCATTAAGGTTAATGTGAATTTGCTGCCACACAGAAAGGAAGAGAGAGTTGCAGCCAGAGCACAGAGCAGATATAGGCACTTCCTCCATGTCAGTGGAGTGTGGAAACAAGAGCATTAGAGGCCTGGAGAAAACAAGGAAACACTGCAGCCAAATGTGTGTATCTGTGGGGAAGGAAAAAACTAAATCAAATCGCAATTTAGGATGAAATAAAGTAAATAATTTTAAAGCATAAGCTGGAAATGTGGGGGTTCCTGCTAGGAAACTAAAAAAACGCATCTTTGGTCTTCTAGGAGGATTACCCAAACCAGAAGACCCCAAATCCTTCTTCCTTTATTTGTTTCTCAAACTCCAGAACAAACTCCTGCAGATCAACCTGTGAGTTGAGCTGCAGAGAGAAGTTTATCTACATAGGTGGTCAAAGAAGATGGCTCTATCTCTAGGCTCCAGCTCTGAGATGTTAGAGGAGACCAAGTTTGCAGATTTCCATCTGAATAGATCAATATTTTTTCGGGATTTCCAGGTTTGAAATGATGCAGCTGCAAACTTTGAACAGGTCTGTATGAGGGGAGCCTAATGTACAAGTTTGATGGACCCACCTTCTCCTTCAGCACACTCTGCTTCTGCAGCAGATCTGCAGCCTCTGTTCTCAGCTCAGAGCATTGCTTCTCTGCACTGCTGCACCTCTTGGTCACGGCTTCCAGCTGTAAGAGGAGATGCAAACATGAATGTTGAAAGCTGAGGAGCGTGGCTTCCTGAAAGGACAGAGAAGCTGCAACTCTTACGCTGTGCTCGGTCTGAAGGAGCTTGTCGCAAAGCTTTTTGATCTGGATCTCCTTCTGGCTCAGCGTTTCTCTCAGGCTGCTGATGAGCTCCAGTTTTTCGGAGGTTTGGGCCAAGGTGCTCTCCTTCTCAATGAGGGAGCTTTCCAGGCTCTCCTGGGTGTCCGTCAGCCTGCAGAGGAAAGAAGAAAAACACATGAAATGGAGTAAAGAACCTAACGGTAAAAACTAATAAAGTAAATATTGTTGTGAAACATAATCTGATTTTAGTTCATTTTAGCAGCATTAGGAATAATTAAAATGGAAACATTCATATATGTCATAGCTTTTTCTCTCATTTAAACTACAAAGCTGAGAAAATGTATCCATCCATTTTATGCTGTATGGAAAGCAGTTATATTATTTTATGGCAGGAAGTTGAGACGTTGGCAGCATCTTACCCTCTGAGCTGCTCATTGAGGCTGTTAACCAGCAGCTGATGCTTCTCAGCCTCTCTGCTCTGCTGACTTCGTACGCTGGCCAGCTGGCTCTGCAGCTTCTCCGTCTCGTTCTGCGGTGATGGAAAAATGGGAGAAACCATGAAGTTAAGAATAACCACTGGATCATGACGACAGCAGTATATCTGTTCTTGGTTAGTGGATAAAAATGTTTGTGTTTACAAAGGAAGGAGAACTGGTTTTATAATTTAAACAATTAAAGCCACACAACAAAAGCTATTTCGGAATATTTCTCACTTAATGCCGCAGATTATGACAAACTCTTGGAATAACGGTGTGAATTGATCTGAAATATTTTAGCTGGTGCTCTCATGTGAAGGGAAATTCAGCTGAAGTTAAAGTCAACTAAAGTAGAATAAAAACAGACGGTACAGAAAGGGACAGGATGACGTGAAGTTCAAGCAGTCTCACTTATCAACAGTATTTTATATTAATACTTATTCTGCCTTTAAAAATTGTGACCCCACTTGAAACTTTTCACATTAACACCATTAACTTTATGTATTTTGATGGGATTTTCTGTGACAGACCAAAGCAAAGAAAAACATTTTTTAACTGCAGAGAACATAGTTCAAAGTTTCCACAGTTTTGAGAAGTTAATTTAATTGTCATAACTTAAAATAATCTTCTTCAGATGTTTTATGGAGGTTCAAGAAAAAATCTAAAAAAAGAAAACCTAAACCTAACTTAAAGCCGCTGGTTTATCCCGTCAACTGAGGGCTGAACCTAACCCTAACATTGGTGGGTGAGAATTTTAAAACTAGGCAAGGCAAGGGAAATTTATTTGTATAGCACAATTCAGTGCAAAGACAATGCAAAGTGCTTTACATGATTAAAATACAGAGAGATAAAACAGAATCAAAGCAAGTAGGAAAAAAATTAATAATAAAATTAAATAAAAAAAAAATGCAGAAACAAAAAAGAATATTAAAAACAGTTGGACTAAGGAAAAAAATGTTTCAGTTGAACTGTTTAACTAGAACAGTTGAAGGCAATCCTAAACAAATGTGTTTTTAGTCTTGATTTAAAGAAACTCAGGCTTTCCACACTTTTAAAGTTTTCTGGAAGTTTGTTCCAGATAAGTGGAGCATAGGAACTAAATGCTGCTTCTCCATGTTTAGTTCTGGTTCTAGGTATGCAGAGCAGGCTGGAGCCAGAAGACCTGAGTGGTCTGGAGGGTTGATGCACTGATAGCAAGTCTGTGATGTATTTAGGTGCTAAGCCGAAAACTAAGGTCTGTGGGTTTAATACCACTTTATTAAATTATTTTGGGGACTTCTAGTCTGTTCTTCTCACACTGTAATAATAGCAGCATCCCGCTCCAGTTACGCGTTACACTTGAAAGTTTTTGAAAAGTAAAATCTAAAACCTTTGAGTAGCATCTGTTTCACCTACACTTCATATTTAGAGCCCAAAAATGCTAAAGCAACGAGTGTCCCCTAATGATTAAATAGAGTCCAGCTGCAGCAGGTTGTTATGCTCTCGCTTTTTAAAAAGGTCAGCCAATCACGTTGCAGTTTTATGTGTTAAGGCAGAACATAAAGCTGTGATGAAAGCAAGAGCGCCAGAGCCGGGGGCCACACCAAAATCGACGCGGCAGCGCAGGAGGAGATCGGTGTAGCTTCTGTGATCACATCGATCTTTCATCGTTTAAGAAAGGAACAGTAGGAACATTAAAGAATAAGTTGTTGGTCTTTTTCATAGCGTCTGTTGCCCTTTCATTTGTGATGATTGGCTGTAGCCACACATTGGTGTAATTTCACCCAATCAGCTCGCAGGGTTCTGCTGAACATCCTTTCTTTCCCCAAAGGGATTTGATGGGAGCAGATCAAGGCTGCAGCTAACGATTATTTTGCAAATCAATTAATCTGTCGATTATTTTTTTCCAATAAATCGATTAATAATCAGATAGTGAAAGCTTCCATAAAGAAGACTTTACAAAATTAAACCTGGTGAAACTCGAACGTTTCCACCTGAGGAGTTCTGGATAGAGCAGATTGACAGGAGAAAAAGTTTTTTTTTATTTTAAATCAAAATATTTATACATTTTCTTACAATCTTGGTATAATTCCTGCTCTAAGTGGGTCGGCCTGTCAGCTAAAGGCATGTTTTACAGTCTCTATATTCCAGTTAATGATTCATTGATTACCTAATTAGTTGACGATTATTTCAATAATTGTTTAATCTGATTGTTTCAGACCTAGGTGGCAGAACTTGAAATAAATAAATAATTAAAAATAAACCAAAGTGCTTCATATTATGAACCTGTCTTTACAGATCACTGAATCTCTAGCCGCCGTTAAATATATTCAACATTTAGTAAACCAGGAAGTTCTGCTCATCCTTCCTTTACTATTACTGCTTCTCTGTGTTGGTGCATCACATTGAATCCCAGTAAAACACACTGGGAGCCTCTGTAGAGTATAGTTATAGTTATTCCACCTATAGTGAATCATAAAACACGTTAACCTGAAAAGAAACAGACTCACAGAGAATTTGAAATCTATGATAAAAGAGAAGACAGTCCTGCAGAGAACAACAAGTAGGGATGTAATTGGCTCATTTCCACCTCGTGTCCCTTTACCAGTAAGCATAATTTGATTTAGGACACCGAGTGAGCCCGCCCTGCAGCAGAACGCTGTGCTTTGAACGCACTTCCAGGGTTAACCAAGCACGCCAACCACACCGTTAGCCACCACCGCCTTCAGCGCACACAAACATGAGCGACCCAACACACCTGAGAGACCCAACATGGCTGCTCTTCTTCATCTACATCAAACGTCACCTGTGTTAGAAGGGTTTATGGGGAAAACATGCAATTCACTCATCATTTCATCAGGTCATCCATCAGTGGGAGAAGGTACTCGCTTGTTAGAGGTAAGCGGCACGGAGCCGGGGGCGGGCGCGTACCTGTAGGGTTTCTATCCGGGCCTGCAGCTGGAGACGGTCCTCCAGGTCCTGGCAGCGCTCCTCCAGGCTCAAGATCTGCTCCTGCAGCTGGTTCCTTTCCAGTTCCAGCTCCTCCACCACTGAGCGCAGGCCGCCTGGAATCACCGGAAGACACGGTTAGAGCGGGAGACGTGATGAGACGCAAAGCAAATAAACACGGTCCAGAAACAGCTGCAACTAACATATCTAAATAAATATTGAGGAAGAAAAATTTGGAAAAACAAGACCATAAATGTGTCAAAAAATTGTTATATTATATAGCCCAAAAACTATTAAAAAGCTTAAAATAAAAAAGTTTTTCATAAATCAATAAACTCTATAAAAACTTGTTTTGCAAATGCATTAATTTGTTAATTATTTTTTCGTTTAATCGATAAATAATAAGATAGCCAAAGGTTCCTTAAAGAAGATTTTTTTTTACTAAATTAAACCAGGTGAAACTAAAACTATATATATATATATATTTTTTTTTTTTTACAATCTCAGTATAATTCCTGCTCTACAGCTAAAGGCATGTTGTAGAGTCTCTATACTCCAGTTAATTATTTATCAATTACTACATTAGTTGATTATTATTTAAATAATAGTTTAATCTGATTCATTGTTACAGCCCTAATACAAATATTACTAAAATTATTGTTTTTCTTCTGAAAAACATGCATCCACATGCATGCAGAAACATTTTTTTCTCCATCCAGTCATAATTGAACACTTCCATTTCCAAATCCTAACATCTGAAATATAAACATAATGAGAAAATCGTATTTTCGTCAGAAAGAAAAATATGTTTAACTGAATAATTACATTAGCTTTGTATTAAAAACTGTGAAAATATACGGTGGCCCTGAAGTGCAAACTGCAACTACAAATCTAAAAGCGCAACTACATTAAGAAAAACAAAACTACATAAAGCAAAGCGCAACTACATTAAGGAAAACACAATTACATTAACCTACCGGAAAAGGTAGGCACCAGTTGGAAACATGAGACATCGCTGATTGGACGAAGGGGCCGTTTGACCCTTGAACCGGAAGTTGCGTCGTCTGAACAGTCCAGCTTCTTTTAAGTGTGTCTTCAGTGTACACAAACTAACTGAAATTTCGCGATTAGTCTTGAGCATATCCAGTATCACCTTTGTCCTGATTCAAAATATTCCTGGATAACGGCAGCTATGTTTGGGGCGCCGGCAATATCCATGTTTTCAAAAGCCGCAGCAGGAAGAATGACTTCCGGTTCAAGGGTCAAACGGCCCCGTCGTCCAATCAGCGATGTCTCATGTTTCCCACTGGTACCTACCTTTTCCAGTAGGCAGAGGCGTGCACAGATATTTTGGGGGGCAGGTGCTAAGGAGGTGGGGCAGGGCACTTTTTAGCGCACGTGGAACACTTAATTATAAAAAAAAATACACGCATGTTGAATGAAATTTGACTTTTATTTGTAACATTCTCTAAACGTGAGTTTTCAATGGAAAAAAGTCACATCACCAACAAAACAGACTAAAGCATACTTCTTTCATCTGGCTCATCTCCCTGTTTTCCCTCATCCTGGTCTTTTTCTGTCTCTGTGTCTTCCCTGAACTCTTCCTCATCTCCTGTCCTGGTAGGTGTTGATGGTATAGAGCTTCCCTGCTGTGACTGGCTACAATATAATAAAAATAACCATCATGACAATAATAATAATAATAATAATAATAATAGCTTTAACAAATATGCCACATTAGTTTAAATAATGGGCTGTTAGGGGACATGACTGGAAGTCTTGTCTGGATATGACTTATGGTAGCCTACAAAATAATAGCTAGTTTAATACCTGCTGATTTTGTAAAAACCACTTAAAAATAAAATGTGAACAGCTTTTAAGATTTTTCAATACAATTAACCCTCCTTTCTTGGCATTGTGCTGCAATTACTAAATCAATATATAATTAAGACAATAAAGAGACCAAATTGTGTTAATTTATGTTGCCTAAAAAATCCTATACAACAGAAAACGTTTCTGACTTTTTTATTGTCAGAATTCAGTCAGAATTCTGAGATTTAAGTCAGAATACTGAGCAAAAAGTCAGAATTCTCAGCAAAAAGTCAGAATTCTGACTTTTTTCGCATACTAAACAGAAATAAAATTTAAAAATCAGTTAACTTATCAGTTAACTTTCAGTGGCCCTAATCCTCTTCCATAGATTTGTGATTGCAAACTCTACCGAAATTATTTGTAGCCTATGTGGTCGTCCTCACGTTATCTGTCATTGACTTGGGCTACAGTGTAAAACTATCAGAATCAGGTTTATTGCCATTGTTAGTGAAGGAGTTCACAAACTAGTTTTTTTTTTTTTGTGGTACAATCGTGCAACATAAAACATATAATATGGAATAGGTAAATAAAATTATAAAAATATCTAAAAACTGTGGGTATACGTCATGCAATAAAATAGACTAATATATACACTTAAGATAAAAATATGGATATAAAATATAAAAAGTTAAATAGCATCTTACAAGGAGACAACTAGTTTATCTGGTGACCAGTCGGCAAAATGCTTGTTTGGTGCTGCTGAATGAGACATTTTAATGCACAACAAAATGATTTACCTTGATCTGTATATTACCTGGCTAATGGGGCACGGGAGAAGCAGCCTGTCAGCGACCGTTCCTGCTATCTGAAGATGCTACTGAACTGCTATGATGCTGCGCATCTGGCATGCCCTGCGACCCGCGCGAGTTCACGTGACAAAGGAAGAGAGAGAGAGAGAGAGAGAGAGAGAGAGAGAGAGAGAGAAAGGCTAGTCGGGTGTGAGCAAGGAGATGGCTCATTTCGGGGCATTGTTTCAGTCGTTTTTAATGGCTCAGGTTTTCAAAAGATCATTTCAAAACCGACCTCAGTAAAATCTTAATAATATTAATAATAATAATAAAAAAAAAAACGAGTTTCAAAAGGGCATTTTCTTTGATAAAGGGCAAACTTCCTAGTGCTTTAGCACCACCTAGTGTCTATGTATGCACGCCCCTGCCAGTAGGTTAATGTTATCGTGTTTTCCTTAATGTAGTTACGCTTTGCTTTATGTAGTTGCGTTTTTCTTAATGTAGTTGCGCTTTGCTTTATGTAGTTTTGTTTTTCTTAATGTAGTTGCGCTTTGCTTTATGTAGTTGCGATTTCCTTGATGTAGTTGCGCTTTTCTTTATGTAGTTGCGATTTCCTTAATGTAGTTGTGCTTTGCTTTATGTAGTTGTGGTTTGCTTTATGTAGTTGTGATTTCCTTAATGTAGTTGCGCTTTGCTTTATGTAGTTTTGTTTTTCTTAATGTAGTTGCGCTTTGCTTTATGTAGTTGCGATTTCCTTAATGTAGTTGCGCTTTTCTTTATGTAGTTGTGATTTCCTTAATGTAGTTGTGCTTTGCTTTATGTAGTTGTGGTTTGCTTTATGTAGTTGTGATTTCCTTAATGTAGTTGCGCTTTGCTTTATGTAGTTTTGTTTTTCTTAATGTAGTTGCACTTTGCTTTATGTAGTTGCTATTTCCTTAATGTAGTTGCGCTTTGCTTTATGTAGTTGCGATTTCCTTAATGTAGTTGCACTTTGCTTTATGTAGTTGCTATTTCCTTAATGTAGTTGCGCTTTGCTTTATGTAGTTGTGATTTCCTTAATGTAGTTGCGCTTTGCTTCATGTAGTTTTGTTTTTCTTAATGTTGTTGCACTTTGCTTTATGTAGTTGCGATTTCCTTAATGCAGTTGCGATTTCCTTAATGTAGTTGCGCTTTGCTTTATGTAGTTGCGCTTTGCTTTATGTAGTTGCACTTTGCTTTATGTAGTTGCACTTTGCTTTATGTAGTTTTGTTTTTCTTAATGTAGTCGCGCTTTGCTTTATTTAGTTGCGATTTCCTTAATATAGTCGCGCTTTGCTTTATGTAGTTGCGATTTCCTTAATGTAGTTGCGCTTTGCTTTATGTAGTTGCAATTTCCTTAATGTAGTTGCGCTTTTCTTTATGTAGTTGCGATTTCCTTAATGTAGTTGCGCTTTGCTTTATGTAGTTGCGCTTTGCTTTATGTAGTTGCGCTTTGCTTTATGTAGTTGCGCTTTGCTTTATGTAGTTGCGATTTCCTTAATGTAGTTGCGCTTTGCATTATGTGGTTGCGTTTTCCTTAATGTAGTTGCGCTTTGCTTTATGTAGTTTTGTTTTTCTTAGTTGCGCTTTTAGATTTGTAGTTGCGGTTTGCACTTCAGGGCCACCGTAAAAATAACCTAGAAACATTTCCACATTTTCTATCATATAGTTTTCCTTTGGGGAGAAAAACTGATGGAGGTTCTGGTTCCACGAGCAAAATAAATTCCAAAGCAGGTCAGGGAGAAATCAAACCAAAATGGAAAGTGTCCGTGCAAACACCAACACCACACTTACCACAGATGATACGACATCTTTCCACCCGCATTCATCATCAGCTCACATTAACTCAAAGCTTTAATGAGACACACAGACAGACAGCAGCCAGCTCAACCAGCATGCACGTGTCCGAAAAATGAAATCTGAGAACGGATGAATGTGACGAGGCACAGAGGGCCTGCGCCGCAAACCGGTTCTGTGGACCGAAAGCAAAAATGAACAAACCAGAGATCCCAGCGGTTTTTGATCGGCCAGCCGGAGGGAGAATAAACAGCCAATAATCCAACATGGTGTTATGGAGAAAAACAAACAAATCAACCCAAAAAAAAGTGTCCCCCAAAGTAATGTGCGGGTGACTGAGTGCATGCCGGCGAACGACCGTCTATCGGGTCTCACACCTGGGTCAGGAGTACTGTACTCGGGCCACCAACCTCCCATGTTCTCTCCCTCCATCGGGGTCGTGCTTTCTGAGTTGTTCCGGGGGTCCTGGAAGGGGGTTTGTCCATCAAACTCAAAATCCTCCTAAAAAGAAAAGGATCAGACCTTTTACTAGAGCAGAACAGATGAAGGACGCAGATATGAATCATTTCTACAGTAACCTGCCGCCTCGCAGTCTGTGTGTGGATCCACAGGAAGGACCACTAATTAAAAATAAAATCTACTTTTCAGGAACATTTTGTTGAGGGGAAACATCCATTTATCTCTCATGCCTCAATCAGTCAGTTCACGCATTTTATTTACCAAAAACCAGTAAAACCAGTCCAATTTATTCTGAGCTCAGATTCACTGAAATGTGAGGCAGATTCCACACTGTGATTATTTATGCAACAAAACACATTGGAAAAGTCCTTCACTGATCCAATATCTCGTAGAACCTCCCTCACCAGGACCTACATGTCCTGCATCAGACGTCAGTTCTCCATGACGCTGTGAGGGAATCTTGCTCCACTCTTCTTTCCAGCTCTGCTTCACTTCGTTGAGGTTTTAATTGGACTCTTAAAGTCCCACCTCAGCATTTAAATAAAGCTGAAGACAAGCTGCAGAGAACAGCTGCTGTTTTTAGTATCGTGGTTCTATTAGAGACTCAGTTTGGACCAAGTTTCAGCTGACGGACAGATGGACTCGCATCTAAATTTAGAACGGAAGTTCCTGTTTCTGGTTTTCACCAAACGTCTCCGTCCTTTCTGTCCCAGACATCTTGTTCTTCATCCGGATGCAGCTTAGCTAACCTGAGTCCTGCCGATATCTTGGTTTTTAGAGAGAAGAAAAGGCCGGTCCGTGAAAATATTGTCTGGCGCAAAAAAGGTTGGGGACCGCTGGTCTAAGATGTTCCCCTCCTGGGAATAATTATTCCCTCTGAAGATAAAAGGAACCTCCGATTGATATTATAACCTCCTAGACTAATGAGCAGCAACAGTTGCTTCGTTGAGGTCATTACTGATGAGTTTCCAGCAATCCACCTCTAACAGCAACTATTGCCGCAGATGAACTCAGAATTTCTAACAGCTTTTCTGCGTCTGTTTGTTCTGTTAGATGTCTATATAAGAAGCTTCCCACCTACCTGCAGGCTTCGATGGGACGGGGCAGCCAGCTTCTTGGCCCCGTGTCGGCCGAGCCCCCGAGCTTGAGCCAGTTCCTCCTCCAACTCCTGCTGCCGAGTGACCAGTGCTGGATCGGAGCAGCCAGGAAAGAACCAGTCATCCTCAATCAGTTTTGTGCCACAGGGAAAAGGGGGGACGGGGGTCGGAATGGATTGAGGATGTGTTTGTTGGTGGGAGTGGATATTAAAGCGGAGGAGGAGTTTTGAGCAGGTGAAAGAGATGAGATGTTGGGGGTGTCGATGGTGTTGGTGGTGAGAAATATGTCAAATCACAAAAATATCCAGCAGCACAGAAAAAGCTTTTTCTAAGAGTGGAAACGCTGAGCGAAAGGAGTGAAGCTGGAGGACAGGTGAAGGAATCAAGGGTTGAAAATATGGAGCGCAGGAACACTTCAAATAGAAACAACTCGCTCCAAGCCATGCACACCTAATTTGCATAGCGAAGGGGAAAAAAAGCATTCAAACATGTGGTAGGCAGGGTGTACGAGTGGCGGTAGGAGGAAGGACAGAGTCCATCTCTGTGAGTCACATTTCACATGAAATCTCCGCAGATCTGTCGGGATCCTTCTGCTTCGTTTTCATTTTTGGAAACACAGGATGCAAGCGGGTCGTGCCTGAACCGACCAGCGCAGGAGACGTTCCCATCTGTTTTGTGCAGACAGGCAGCTTGGTGGTGAGGAGGGAAGGGAAAGGCGGAGGGCAGCTGTAAGCAGAGGGTGAGGCAGAGGAGGGAAAGGGTGCAGCGTGTTCAGCGGTGACCGGTGCACGATAAGCAGAGCTGGAAAAGAAACCAAAGTCTGCAAAATATGGCGAGAGGAGAATGTTTCTGCTGAACTGAATCAGAGACATATTCCTCAACGTCTCACCTGCAATGATCCCACCAGGGTGGATGAAAGGAGGACATTTTAACAGATTTATCTCCCGAGGAAGGACTCTGATTGTAGCCAAAACCATGACAACAAGGCCAGAACCGGTGAACCAGCGCCTCAATGACATAATGTTTTACTTGACAGACCAACACAAAGTATTACAGAGTTTTCTAGTGGGAGGAAATAATGAAGGGCTTCAAATTTAAAGAGTCACTGAATGGAAAAAATAAAAAATAATAGATTCCTTAAAATCTTGATGCTGTTTCTGTGTTGAAATATAAATGCATGTTTTCTACATTTTTTTCTCCCTCCTTTAAACAAAGCAGCTTCTATTGATCTGTTCTTTTCAGGCCGCTTATCCCTACAGATTACTGAACTTTGACCCCAGATGCGTGTAAATGAATTATGCATGAGTTTCAACGCTGCAAAAAATTTTAATCTAAGTAGGGCTGAACCATTTTGCCTAAACTGTGATTATTTTTTAGCCAATACTGCGATTTTATTGTGATTTTTTGCACTAAGCACAACCATGTTGATGTTTTCCTCCAGGTTTTTAGTTTTTCTCCATGACCTTGAAAGCCTGCTTATCCAGAATGCAGCTGCAGGACTTTGCTGTAACATTTACATGAAAACGTTTTGCTAGCTGCAACTCTCTGTTCACTTCTGTGCAACAGCATACCAACTTTAATCGTATTACCATCATCTAAGGGAGAGATTTGGTGTCTTCTGTTAAATGTATTGTTACCAAAATTTAGCATCTGTAAATTGAAAATAGGATTTTTCTAAACTGCGATTATATTGCAGATGCAATAAAAAAGCCCAGCCTTAAATCTAAATAAGTCAATTTTTCTCAAAAGTGTAATTTTTTCTAAAATTAAGGAGGTAAGTGAGACACTTTGCCAATGGAAGAAGACAATTTACATTTAAAATAAGAAAAAACAATTGCAGTCTCTTATTTCAAAAGTATATTGTCTAATTATCTTATTTTAAGGGAGAAAGTGCTCATTCCATTCGCAGATCATCTGATTTTCCTACTCAAATTAAGTGTAAATACACTTAAGTTAAGACATTTTTAATAACAAAACTTTTCAGAGCCTAATTTGTCACAAAATATGCTTAATTTCTAATGATAAGAATCAAAAACCGCTTCCTGTTTAGAACCGTTCCATGTTTTCCAATTCCATGGCACAGTTTGGCAGCTTGCTTAACGATTCTCTTAACGGTTCCAGGCAACACCAGAGTCTAGCGCTGGGCAGCACGACTTACGTCACGTTTTTTTTTACACCAGTCACGCACACGGCATTCAGTAAGCGAGTACGACGTGACGAGGCGTAAGTCTAGAAAAGCAAAACAAAAGCGCTCAGAGCGATCGCAAGTTTGATGGTAACAAGGTGCTTTGCAATCATTGCAAAGTGGCAATAACATCCGCCGGAGGAAATACATCCAACATGCAGAAACACCTGCGCACACAACATGGCATACATTTTAACGAATGCCGTGTTTTTGATGCTTTCAGACAGAAGCTAAAGTTACGACCAGCATGGAAGGCAACTCTGGTGGTAAGTAGCTAGTTTTGTATCACTGACTGTGCTTAATGTGGTTCCTAGTAAATCATATGACATTTCTGGAAATAGACCAATTTCCTACCTCTCTTTGAGGTTATTAAACGTGCTAATAAGTTGCTCCGCAGTTCAGGAAGCGAGAGAAAGGTGACGCTCATTTATTTAAAATCAGGGGGAGATTAGCTTATTTCCCGAAATTGTACAGTAATGCTTTTTTATTAAACGGATGCCTTCTCCATTAGATTTAGATGACTATGTGGCTCAGAGGTTGGCAGCTCCCGTTCACTGGCTTCTGTTTTCGCCGAGGCAGGCAGAAATAGAATGTCCAAGGCGAAGGTAGATGAATGTCACCGTTACCAAGTTCATTGTTGCACAGAATTGATAAGAGAATCGATAAGGAATCAGAATCGTTTCACAGAATCGATAAAGGAATCGGAATTGTGAAAATCTTATCAATTCCCAACCTATTAATTTCCCACATAATCATGTTTTATAACTCAACAGCAGGAGGGATCAGAGTCAAGGTGGCAGCAGCTGAAGGACTGAAGAGCTGCTGTTGCTGAAGTTCAAACATTATTTGATTAAACTGATTCTGAGCAGCTTTTCAGTCTCTTTACTCTTTACAGATGGTGGTACACAAAGTCTTACTTGCTATCCTCTTGTTGCCCAATATTAAACCCAGTAATGCATCATTTGGTTTGCTCATCTTTCAGCTGATAATGCATCTTTAAAAACTCACAATCATCCTGTTAGCAGCGATGAGTGTGAAAGATATTTAGTCTAAAGCACTTTACTCCTCAGCAGGACAGCAAATCTTTTCTTTCAGCACCAAAAACAACAAACACCAGGTGACTAATGCTGCAGCATATTGAGACAAACAGAGAGAAGGAAAACAAAAACAAACAAAAATGGTGGCAAAGAGGAGAGAACAGAAAGGGAGGCTAAATGGCAGACTCTGCAGCGCCGCTCATCGCCGCGCTGACAGAAGTTCAACCCTGCAAAGTTCAGAGGAACTAGCGGCAGCGCGGCGAGAGGCGGCTTTGGAGGGTTGGAGGAGCCTGCATGCACAAAACTGATGGGAAACTGTTCTGACAGGCTGCTCCCATCCCTGGAGCAGGAGGGACTGGAGAGGGAGCCAGATGGGGGAGGGAGGGGAGCGGGTCCAGGAGATGGGAGGCAGCACAGAGCAAATCGAAGCTCCCCCATGACGACGGTGAAGACAGGGGAAAATAAAGAAAAAAATGTTCAGTCAGACAGAACAAAAACCTCTCCACAAAGTTTGGGCTCATGGAGGGACGATGGGGGTCAGTCTGAAAACTTCCAGCTGAAATCGCTACGACACACGACTGTTAGCAGGTGACTGAGAGAGCGTGAGCGTAGTGGAGTTATGGAGGATTACTGAGCAGATTAGGTGTGCATGAGCCCATCTGATGACTCTGAATGAGGAGGTGTGTTTAACTTTAACTGCCTCTGATCATTAAAAGAAACTGTCTACGTGAGTTTGTTGATGGTCGGCCTGCAGCTGTGACCTCACCCTCTCTGTCCTCCTCCATGTGGCTTATCCGCAGGGCCATAGCTGCCTTTTCCTCCCTGGCCCTGTCCCTGGCGCTGGCTGCCTCCGAAACCATCTCCTGCCACTCCAGAACCTGGCTCTGAGTGTCGTCTGCGCTGCCCGACTCGCTGGCCTGCAGACAGGGGGAGACATGGACACTGAGAACAGGGCGGTTAGACGGGGGTGAGCGGCGGAGCTGTCCTCACCTGGGAGGCTGCCCTCTTGGTGAACTGCTCCAGCTCAGCCTGCAGCGTCCTCTGCTGCTCCTCGTACAGAACCAGCTTGGCTTCTAGCATTTCTAACAGAAAACGAGTCATGTTTACTACAGTCTGCCATCAGAGTGGGAACAAACGGTTGGGTTTAAGTTAAGTTTTTTTTACCGCTCTTTTCTCTCAGCTCCTCGTAGTGCTCCACCTTCCACTGGTTTTCCTCCCTCTCCTCCTCCAGAGCGGTGATGTGACCCCGCAGAGCAACCAGGTCCGGAGGAGCCGCTCCAGCCTTGGAGGAAGCAGAAAACAGACATTTCTGTAAACAGTGTTGTTTGATCCCGTCCGTTTTCGCCCCCTGCCTATAGAGGATGCGTGTTGATGGAAACATGGAGGAAACCTCACCTGGCTTTTCTTCAGCTCCTCTTCCAGCTGTCTGATTCTAGACTTGGACCAGGCTTTTATTTTCAGGAACTTGGCCTCAGACCGACTGGCCTCTTCTGTTTTTTGTTTAGCTTGAGCTGAAAGAGGTTAGAAGTTAAAATGGATCGTTTAACCAGACAGAATAAAACTCCTGGATCCATATAAAACTCCAACCTTCCAGCTCCGCTATCCTCTGGACGGAGGCCGGATCCGTTAGCAGGTTTCCGTTTTCCGAGGCCTCCTTGCCGACAGGTGGCGCCACCGCCGGCGGGGCTCTCCTGAGCTCCTCCAGTTGCCCCAACAGGTCCTGCTGGATCTGGTCCATCTGGCTCCGATGCTCCTCGCTCAATCGCCGCACCTCCATTTGATGCTTCTCCATCAGGTCACGAAGCTGCGCCCGCATCACGTGCTTCTCAGCCTCCATCTTGGATTCCAGGCTCTCTCGCTCCACGTGCAGCCGATGGAGTCGCTCTGTGAGCTCCTGTGGGGATCAGACAGAGTGACGACCAGAAGCCCCGCTACAGACTGGATAAAGAAACCCCGTTTAAGGTCCAGATTAAGGCCCAGCCTTTGACTAGGCCGTTCTAACATCCGTGCTACCTCAGAGCAGATGCTCAGGCTGGTTCTCCTACCGGAACCTCTAATTGTTTTTCTTTAAGGATTCAGCTCCACCCATCTTTCCTGCTCCCACCGAGAAGCATGATGCCACCCCCACCGTGTTCCACACTAGAGATGGTTTATGAAGCCTCAGCTTTCTGCCACACGGCATTTTCCTGCTTGCATCCTACAGTTTAATCCTGTTGCATTGGGATTTATTTAGAGGGGTCAGAGTAAAATGGGCTAAAAACAAATTAATGTTATTTTGACAATCTTGTTTTTTAAAAAGTATAAAAAAATGATGAGCCCTTTTCTTTTCACAGCAGATGAAACGATATGTGACGATATGTGACATATAGATATAGATAGTGTAAGAGCCATAAATTATTACCCGCGGGGTCACCCGCTAAAATGCTCTTTTGAGGGTGAAAAATACATAAATAAAAATAAACGGGTCGGGCGGATATTTTTTTTTGTGCGGGCGGGTAGTTGGTGATTTTTTTTTTATGCGTGTGTGTTGTTATGGACATCAGAGATGTTATATTAATCAGGCACTGGGGTCACCCTTGTTGTAGCTTAAAGCCCTGCCGGCAGTGTGGGCTTCCCTCCTAAAAGGCCACAGTCAGTGCATACACATCTGCTGCAGTGTTAATGGCGCTGTTCTGCAGCGCAGCGTACTATAGCCTAATACTTGATGTGTTAACGGGTCGGGTTGCGGGTTAAATATCAACGGGTCGGGTCGGGTTGGGATTTGAATTGAAGATATCCGCGGGTGACGGGTCGGGTTCAGTAGTCATCGTAACGGGTTCGGGCGGGTGCGGATTGGTAAAACTCGACCCGTGCAGGACTCTATCTTGTGCTCCTCTGATATTTTTCTCCCTCTGCCTGGGTGTATGTGCCTGAGCATGTGACATTGGTGGACACAGTCACCGGCATCTATGGGCGGCAGCGTGGGTGTGGTGCCATTAATTTAGTTTGTGTGCTCACCTGGCTTCAACATTTGACCTGGATTACGGCAGCTGGGTGAGCTTGGGGAGAAACTCTCTGTTGACTGTCTTATACACCATGATGTATGCGCTGCTTGATCAATGTAATCAATGTAAGTACAGCTTTGCATAAGAACGTAAGATGGAAAATAAAAGGACATCCTAGCGTATAATGGCTCAGCCGGCCGAGGCGTTTGAATAAAAATTTGAGTTTATACGCCGCAATAGATGGAGTTTGATGCTAAAACTCACAGAGATTATAGAATCCCTTTTTTATATATATATAAAAGTATTAATGTTTATTATTCAAGTACAAGTATAAATCATATAGTTAAAAACACTTAGAAGTTAGAGCAGAAGTTAAAGGATCAACCTCAGCTTTTTTAAAACTACTTAAAGTATGAAAGTAAAAGTAATTCAGGGAAAAATGTAAGGACAGAAGCTTTACTGCACTACCCTATTAAAGGAACATTTTTCTACATTTCTGAATGAGAACTTCCTTAGACTTCATTTCCTTAGTTTTATAACTAACGGTAACAGTTTCAAATTTTACTTTGCATCATCTTGAAAAACTCTTTATTTTGGTATGTGATGAACAACAAGTTGGGGCAGCACCGAGTCCAACCACAAAGACATTAAGTGTCTGAATGATACCAAATATTTTCTAGAATTAGCTTAAATGAAACAAAACTCTGCACTTTCATCTTTTTTTTTTATTTAATGGATGAAGCAAAAATAAAAAAGTATTATGTGGAAGAATTAGGAGATATTTCTGCCTGATTATTATTATATTATTTTTATTAGTATTATTTACCAATACTATTTACATTATATAAACTTTTCTTCCCTTTTAATGGAATGAAGAAATGGCCACACTGATGTTCCTGAGGATTAGGTCTGAAACAATTAATCAAATTAATCAATTACTGAAATAAATGTTAACTAATTTAGTCATTGATTAATTATTAACTGGAGTATAGAGACTCTAAAACATGCCTTTAGCTGACAGAGCGACACATTTAGAGAAGGAATTACACCAAATACACCAAAGAAATACATATATGATTTTGAATTGAAGATAGAAAAACGTTCCTCCTGTCAATCTGCTCTATCCAGATCTCCTTAGGTTGAAAAGTCTGAGTTTCAACTGGTTTAATTCAGTAAAAAATCGTCTTTAACGAACATTTTGATATCTGATTAATAATCGATTAATCGAGAAAATAACCGTCAGATTAATCAATTTGTAAAATAATCGTTAGTTGCAGCTAACGATCGTATGTTTAAAGCAAGCTGATGACTATTGTTTTTAATTTTTTTATTAAGATGGTTTGAAGAATACGGGAAACTGACCTTTATCTGCCGATCCCTGCCGTCCACCTCGCCCTGCAGAACGTCGATGACCTGCGTTTTCCCCAGCAGCACCTCCTCCTTCTCGTGCAGCTTCTGCTTTAAGGCCTTCAGCAGCTGAGTGGGGGGGAAGGGGGACAGATGGTGGAACGAGTTTCCAAACTTCTCAGTCTAAAGAGAGCAGAGCTGCTGTTACCTGCTCCAGGTCTGCGCTGGCGTCAGACTTTGCCGCCAGCCTGAAGAGCTCCTGTTCGTGCATCTGGTTGACCTCCATCAGCTGATTGTCTTTCTGAATGATGATGTCTTTGAACGTCTGGATCTAAAGAGGAGACAGCGGCGTTCATTTACTACGACCTGCTGACCTTTCATTTTTCCTGGCCGGCTTTGTAAACCTACATTCTGCTTGTACATGTTCTCCTTCTGGCTGTACTGCTCCTTCTCTGAGGCCAGCAGCTCCTTCAGGCTCTCCGTCTGCTCCAGCAGGAGACTGTAGCGCTCCTCTGCTTCTTCCACCTTCTTGGTCAGGCTTTGGACCAGAAGCTGCAGCTCCTGCATCTCTCCACCAACCTCCAGCACCTGAGAGGGGACAAGCATAGATCCTACTCAGTTCTATGGCTTCTCACATCAAAACAGGGAGGAAAGCGACAACTTTATGCTGAAAGAGGAGCATCACCTTCTCTGTTGGTTTATCTGTGATGGGATGATCTCCTGCCAGTCCTGTTTGCAGGTGGACGATGTAGGCCTCTTTTTCTGCCAGCCTCTTGTCCTTCTCCGTCAGCATGGCGTCCATCTCCTCACCTCGCTGTTGCTGAAGCTCCATTTCCTTCCTCTGGAACCATCAGGAACAATTAAAGGATTTTAGACAGTCAGAGATCTTTAACCCAGGAAGGGAAACTGATTATTATTATTCACCCTTTTTTGCAGCTCCCCATCCTTCAGGGAAAGCTGATGCTCCAGTTCTTCAACCTTCTTCTTCAGCAAGACGATCTTTCCCCGACTGGCCTGCTCTGCTCCTCCCTCTGAAGATCCCTGAAGACAAGAAGACGCTGGTTTAGTGGAAGAGGAACCAGGAAAATTATTTATAGAAGTATAGAAGAACAAGAAGAAGAAGAACCAACCTAAATAAAACAAAATAAAAAAATGACATTGAATAAAATTAAATAGGGACATGAAAATACAAAGAAAACTAAATATATATAGAAATAAAAGAAAAAGCTGAGCAAAAAATAAACATCAAAAACATTAAATAAAATACTATATAAAATATAATGTAATACAAATATAAAAAACAAAAACAAACAATAATAAAATGGAGCCAAAACAGCAAAACCAAAAATGAAAAATAGGAAAACAGGAAAGTAAAAAAAATAAATAAATAAATGTAATCTCTGAAAGATGATCTTTCCACACGTAGAAAACCAGACGTTCTCCAACCTTCTTGCCGTGAGTCGGCGTCCCGGGATCTCCTTGTCGTTTCTTCAGCTCCTCCAGCTGTGATGTCAGAGACTTCACCTTTGCTTTGTTTTGGAGGCGGAGCTTCGACAGTTTGGACTCGCATGCCTCCTTCTCCACCTGAGCCACAATGAAAAGCAATGAGCTCCATCAGATACAATAGCAGGACTGTGGTGATAAAAACATGTTCCTGTTTGGATTTATTCCTTTTCCTGAAGTTACCTTCATGGTGGAACATTTACTGAGCTATCAGCTCACATTCCTGTCTGTCAGTGAAGGTTAGACTTTGTCTCCGGGGTTTAAACGTTAACTTGATCCATGTGAGTCTAACAGGAACCGGCTACAGACTAAGGCTGACCCAAACCGTTGCCCCAGATCTTTAAACCTTAGCTAAGCTCCAGAGGGAGCCTCCCTCACCTTAAGCTGATCATCTTTGGAGCGAAGCGCAGCATCTTTCTCCCGAATCAGCTCCTTCAGCTGAAGGACCAGCTGCTCCGTTTGAATCAGCCGCTCGGCCATCTCCTCCACAGGAACCTCTGCGCGCCCCGCGGCGCTGTGAGGGGAGCCTGCGCCCTGAGGGGGAAACAAATAATAGGAAAACTGAGCAGAAAGACTCGCTTATAGAAGATGAATCCTGGTTCCTCTGCTAAAACTTTCATGTAGTTTGAATAGTAAGTTTAAGAACCATTTGATCAATTATAAGGGCTGATAAAACTGATAACTGATGAACTGATGAAACTCCAATAATTATTAGTTATTATAGCTCCTCCTTATTGATGTTTCTCATCGTAAACTAATTCAAACAAGTGATGTTAAAATAATATTAAAATATTAAAAGTTAATAATTAAGATCAGAACTTAAACGCTGCAGGGTTTTTTTTTATCTATATGCCACTAACTCCTTTTGACTGAATGCAAACAGAGTGAATTCAATAACTTGAACTTTGCTTGTTAAATTACAACAATTGTCAATCAAGGGTTGCATAGCGAAACGCTCAACCGGTTCTCATTAAAACTTCTGGGATGGAAGAAGAGCGGTGAAACGACGACTCTCTCAGCCCCTGCAGATGGGGCTGTACATGCTTTCACAATGGTCATGGTTGTGTGGGCTATGAGTAATAAATGTAAAAATGATTGACTTTTAGAGTTGGGTATTTTCACCAAAGTCCTGAATCGATTCGATTTTGATTCGATCTGTTTTTACAATAATGAAAGTGGTTCAACTGTGTTCCAAAATAATCATGTATTTTATTTTTTTCCTGTAGTATTAAACACAAAGTGCAAACTTGTAAATCGGACGGTTTAAACTTGATATGGGAACAAAACTGTCTCATAAGTGCAAACTTGTTTGTGAAAAGTGAAAAAGTGAAGCCTCACTCGAGCAAGCAGACGTGACACAGCGTATTTGCAGCGTTGTCTGTAACAACTACAGGGTGTTTGCTGGTCAGCCCTCCATTTGTTAATGTCTTCAGTCAACCTACTGGGCATATTTGCAGCTGTCTGGCTTGAAGTCATCTTAAGAGCATCTTTCCTGCTCATTTGAATGTGAATGTCACGAGCGTCACTATATAACTAATCAATCTCATTTCCTAGACCTCAATTTTGCAAAAATGTAAAGGAATTGATTCAAAATCGATTATTTTACCCCGCCCTAATGACTATGTGATGGAGGGGAGCAAGTGTGGAAGTCCAAGCATAAATGGAAATCAAAATAAAAAAACAGTAAAAAAGATCAAAGAGAGGTTTGATTCCAAGAGGGATAAACTTGTGCTGCGCTAAACAAGTCTGACCTCTGTAGTTTTCTAAAATTTTAGCCAAAGCTCAGGAAGCGTTCTGATGTCGCTGTGAAGTTGATTGACACCTGACTACATGTTCTTGCTAGCAGTTCTACTAATCTTAGCAATGCTATTTAGCCCGATACGCCTTGCTGTTGGTTTTTGTTGACTCATTGCATCTCAGTAGGCACTTATTTAGCAGCTGCATCAATGGCCACCATCTGGATTTCTGGTAGTTCAGTGGTACTGCCAGCAGATGGCACCATGTCCATTTATGTCAGCTCATTGCTCCCGGTGCTGAGGTTGTATTTAGGCTCAAAAAGGACCAACAAAACAATATCAGGATGGATGCTTGCAGTATAAAGCCTTATTTGATCATAATTAACTGGATTTTGGCGTTTTTGGTAAAGGCATATGATTTACCTTTAAATTAGTTTTACTTCCTTTAAATGCAAGTTTTCATGAAACACTCACATGTAAAACAACATGTGGGTAACAGTGGCGTCGGATGTAGGAGTTCGACCTGAAATTGAAGAATTGACAGTTCGACTCCGGCTTTCTGTGCTTTACAACACTTCACCTGCACTGCCTACCGATGGTGGTCAGAGGGCCCTGTGGCGTCAGTGTACGGCAGCCTGGCTTCTCTCAGTGTGCCCCAGGGCAGCTGTGGCTACAATGCAGCTCACCACCTTCAGTTTGTGTGTTAATGACAGAATATAGTGTAAAGCGCTTTGGTCAACGAGTCTGACTTGAAAAAGCGCTATATAAGGCCGTTTACCTTATACCAAAAAAAGGTTAACTGTGGATTTATAGCAGATTCGTCCACAGGGATCAGGTTGTGAATGAATGGTAGAATCGAAAAAAGAGAAACTGCAGATTATCTTCTGGATTCCGAACGTCTTTGACGACAGCCTTTACACTGGGAACGGGGGAAAAGTCATGCTGACTGGGATGTGTGTGTGTGTGGAGGGGCAGGGGGTGGGGGGTCATTTTTATCCTGTCAGGAAGCTGGAGCTTTGAGGTCAGCAGTTTGACTGATCCCAGCTTATCTGGACATGAAGAACAATGAAAAGACTTCCCAGATAAAACAGACTGATGACGTGTAAAATAACGGACTGAAAACTGATATAAAGCAGCGTTAGATCACTTTCCATTGAACACAGTCCTGCAGATCTACTATCCTGCAGCTTTTGGATGCATCCTTCCTCCAACACACCAGCATCTGATCAATGAATCGCCTCCAGGCCTGAATGGCTGAACTCTGAGGAGGAAGCCAGCTGTCTGGTGCAGGTGTGTTTGGAACAGGAAATAAGCTTTTCAGGACTGGACCAGGACACCTTTGCTCTAATGAATGCATCATTTGCATTTTTAACATTGTTTTCTATCTTTTTAGAAAACTTTTGGTTCGAGGTTTTGAACCTCTGGTTAGAGGAGCTGAAATGAAAACACCAGAAACACGTAACTGTTTATCATTGCAATATAAAAAACTTACCGGAGAGCCAGACTCTCCCTCTTCTCCGGAAAACCATTTTAGCATGGCTGATTACAGACCTGAAACACACAAAAAACACAGAGGAAGTAAAAAAGGAGATCAATGAGTTCTGATTGAACATGAGACCCTGATACATCCTCAAATGTAGTGAAAGCATCCAGTTTTCCATTAATTAATAACTCTAAAAAATGTTAGTAATGTATTATTTATCTAAAATTAGGACAATGCACATTTATCACCATGCTAGCTTAAAAAAATCTATGTTAATATGCCAGAATTAGCACAAAAGCTAATTTGAATCCACTTTCCTATGGCAGGTAAAAACGGTGAACATTAAAGAAAGACAACAAAGGAGAGAGCAGAGTGGATACAAACAGGCAAGATGGATGAACACCTGACTGATGATAATTTTGTAATTCTTCCTTTTTTTGGTTGAATTTCCAGCTATTTATCCGGTTCATGTGTTGAAGTCTTTAAATTTGAAGCAAACCAAAGAATGATGAAAGAAATCCTGATTTATGCATCACTGGACACTTGATATGGATCTCTGCTTCTCTTCTTTAAATGGGTATGAGGCCCATGTTTCCTCTAAATGATATAAATCCATTTAAAGTTTCAGGACCAATAATAATCATTTATATGGGATAATTAGGATAGAATGAACTTTATCTTAAAAACGCACACATAGGTTACATAGACACTCATAACATATCCTCTAAAGAATTAAAATTAAATAAGAATAACATAGCATACTATAACAACAAGCAGAACACCAAGTTATTGCACATTTCCTATTTCTCCCTTATAGATCTATTTAGCATGTTGATATAAATGTAGATGGAGGTGGGTGTAAAGGAGTATTTAAAGGGATTTAGAACCTCCTGCCAGAAGGAAAGAGCTCATATTCCTTATGAAGCATGTGGGACAGGTCCAGCAGTACCCCACCCTGCCTAAGTACAGACTGAAGGGAGAGCTTTACAGTCCTCCCCATCACCTTCATGGCAGTCTGTGCCAGGCACTACAACTTTGATTTGGACTGTGTGGAGAGACCGCCGAACCAAGCATCATCCCAAACCTGATGAAGCTCTCCATCACTGCCTGATGGATTAAAAACATGGGAGTTCTAACTGACAACAAACAGCCACAGTTTGCGTAAAAGATAAGTCCTTCGCTGTAAACCGCAACATAGGCGTAATTTACCATTGCAGGAAAGTGAGACTGCCGATAAAAAAAGGCCTCTAAATCACTTCCTGGTGAGAAAAAACTAATCAGCTCCTAAAAAAGATCTGCTCCTTTGTTTCTTTATCTTTTCCAAACAGAATAAAGCTGTTTGCAGCCGGATCCACGACGCATAGTTACTTCCTGGAAAGAAGTCGATTCCTTTTGCAGGTGTGAAAAAAATAACTGCACTATAAATTATTCTGATTATCAAATTCATGGCTTCAGCTCTTCTACTGCAGTTAGGAAAAACTATTTACTCCACCCAAAGCTGTATAAAGTATTTGCACCCTAAGGCTGGACAATATATTCCAAATACATTATTATTGCAACAACAGCTTGTGTAATATTCATGTATCTAAGGTGGAGGTCTTCAGTGGGGGTCCACAGAGGCTCTTTTTAATATTCCCCCTTGCATTTTTTTCCACTAATTGAATTGTCTTTAAATCCACATTAACATGAATTCAACAGACTGTAGTAAACAGATAAATGGAGGCAGAAGATGTCTTTCAGTCATCAATGCTCACATTCAGGGATACGCAGGAGCTTTTTCAAGCTGGGCAACGTTTCATTCACAACACCTGTCCCATCAACCAGGAATGCGAATCAGAAATGCTTTAATAATCCCAGGGCGAAATTACTTTGGTTACATTACTCCATATGTAATAGAGTGACTATAGGACCAGTTAATCATAACACAGTTTCATACAATAAATATAATTAGGGGGTCTAATCCATCTCGCCATCAGTTTGGGGGTCCTTGGCCTGGAAAACTTTGAAGGCATGCCTGGAGTGTAGTTTGAGCTGGTAATTTTATTATTTAAGTACAGGCTTTATTTACAGGTGAAAAGGGGAACAGGTAGACATAGAAAGGTGCAGTGAGAGTCAGAAATGGGGATATGAAGCAGCTTCTTATTATTGATCTATCCCTGGTATACTGGCTTAATAAGCTAAATACATGATTAGAAACGGGGGACAGAAAATAAGAGTAAAATCAACCAAAGAAAACCTAAAGAATAGAATCAGGGAATATAGAGACCTGTGATTGTTAAATATTGGCTCTGTGTATGCACCTTGATGCTCTATTTCGCTGGTTATTTTCCCTGAATAGAGATCACTAGGGTAATAAACTGTTTAAATAACACTTTATACCCTATCCTAACCTAACATGATTAATAAATGATAACAAACATGGCTTCTGATACAGTAAAATGAAAGTGAACTTATCAGGACAGTATGGCAGAACCAAAGTGTAAGTTCCATTTATATCTGTTAAGAACTTCTAAGTAACCATTTTCCAAACAGCTTTATTCTCTCTAACCATTTTTTAGGATATAACTTTCCAGTTAAATTTGTACTTTTCCATCATTTTGTCTGGAAGCACAGCTCCTCACTGGAGCAGAAAGCAGCCCTCCTCTGTGAGGACCTGAGGCCTGCTTCCACGCATGATCAGCCTGATCCACTCAGCTGTCCAGCCCACGTCACCGTGGAGGAAAAAAATCCGGTCACACCGGTTCTGTCACGCAAACCACCACAGGTTACAAACTGGAGCTTAAACCTGGACTAAGCTCTGAGTTTATGAGGAGCAACAGTTAAAACCAACTCAAACCAGTCCAGAGAGAGCAGGGCAGGAGGCGATGAGGACTTAATCCTTGTCAGAATGTACATTTTTAGCTATATTTATGTTTATTTTCAAAGCATAGAAAATTATTTCGGGGACAGTAAGGTGAGGCTGCAGCTACAGCTCCTGTTATCCGCACAGAGGATCAGGAGCAGCTTTAAAGGCCACTCAGCGTCCAGTAGCTTAGGGCTAACTTCTTAGCTAACCATTTAAATGCTTCTCCGCTCCCAGTCCGGTTAAACAACAGTGTAAAAGCTTACCGCTCTCACTAGTTCATGAAGAACCCACCCGAGTCGCCACTTAGTCGAAAGGAGTCAAATAAAGTCACATTTTATTGCATTTGGAGCAGAAACCTTCAACGGGACGGGTGTCTTGATAACATTTGTCAACAGACTGGTACGAGGCTACGCGCATGCGCAGTTTGGACCGGAAGAAGAAACATTTCCGTGCAGTTAGAGAGAGAGAGATATGTTATAAAGTTCATTTTCATGACTCCAAAATTTATCTCAAGGGGATATATGTGAAAAATAAAGCCCCCTGGTTGGTTGTCGTTTATTTTTATGCTAATTTCGTTTCAGTATCTTTTGAAAACACTGTTAGAAAATAAAACCTCCAGAGGAGCACACTTGGGTGACATCCGGTTTAATTTTCAAACTAAAGTAGGATACTATAAATCAGGGGGCTTTGACGTTTTCCAGGCCAAGGACCCCCAGACAGATGGAGCGGGGACCCCCTAATTATATATTTTTTTATGAAATTGTGTTATATCAAACTGGTCCTATAGTCACTCTATTACATATGGAGTAAAGTAACTAAAGTAATTTCACACTGGGATTATTAAAGTATTTTTGATTCTGATTCTGATTCCTCGTTGTGTGTTGTAAATGAAACGGTGCCCAGCTTGATTGTGCATTGATTTTCAATTCAATTGAGTTTATTTAAATACCGCCAAATCACAACGCGTCATTTCAAGGCACTTTACAGTTCACCGGATCATACAGTCAAATTGATTTAAAGTTTTCTATCTAAGGAAAACCAGTTGGTTGCATCGACTCATTGACTCTTCAGCAATCCCTCACACTAAGCATGCTTGTAGCGACAGTGGAGAGGAAAAACTCCCTTTTAACATGAAGAAACCTCCAGCAGAACCAGGCTCAGTGTGAGCGGCCATCTGCTGAGGCTGACTGGGGTTCGAGCAGACAGAAGCAGAAACAAAAAGCAGCTGTAAAAGGCGGCCCCGTCCAGCAAACACACAGCCAGGCAGACGAGCTCCGAGCCAGCTCCCATGTCAGTGGATGCAGAGAGCAAATTCCAGTAATTGATGACTGAAAGACATTAATATAACGTTAATGTGTATTTAAAGACATTTCAATTAATGGAAAAAAATTGCAGGGGGGAATATAAAAAAAGGAATACAAACCAAAACTTTCGTGACCACCATGCTCTATGGACTACATGTAACTGAGACCTTGAAGACCTCTGCTTGAAAACATTCATCACACATAATTACAAAGTCTGAACAGTTTTCTTCCTTCAGAATGCAATGACAATTGGCATTATTTTTTGTTTGTTTGTTTTATTACAAAATAAGGCCTCTCTGTTTACTTTCTTTTCTAAATCTACCTTTGTTGACTTATTGCTTAGAAAATTAAACAAGGCAGTGATTCAACTAGCAGCAGTTATAACTAGGAAAAACAGCACAGTTAGTGAACAGTAAAATTTTAAGCACAAAAAAATAAACACATAGGTATTTACTGAGAAAGTCCATAGTTCCACTGTGTTGTTGACCTTAATAAACTCACGGCTAGATGATATCTGGTTCAGGTCAAGATAATTATAAAGAGAGGTAAAAAAGGAGTGCAATAATAAATGCAAGTCAATAATGAAAATAAAGTAATGATGATAAAAGCTTAGTGTTGATAATGCTCCTTACAATCATTACAAAGTGCCATCATAGCCTCTGTTTGCTCCTTGTTCAAATATCTAACAGTTTTACCCTCCATTTATGTATGCAGTGTTTGCGTGTTGCCAGTATTGCACAAATAGTTGTAAGTAGTACATTTTTTGGAGGATCCATGGAGGAAAGTGCCAGAAGTGCAATGGGGACCCCAGAGTGGGCACAGTTCTGCTTCCAAACAATGTAAACCTGAACCGCCTAGTACCAAAAACTTCCCAATCATCGACCCCACAGTCAATGCGAAGCTGCTTTTCTCAGAATGAAACAGGCAGCAGATACGACTGAACCATCTGGCAGCTCTCAGACCACAGAGAATTGTCTTCTTTGAGATGTCCAGAAAGATAATCAACAGGTCAAGGAGTCACAATATGTTTCTTTGTTTAATAAAATATTGTTTTTTTTTTCCAAATGGGCTGCATAGTTGCACAGTTTGTAGCTCTTTTGCCTTGCAGAAAGAAGGTCTGGATTTCAATTCCTGGCCTGGGGTCTTTCTGGGTGGAGTTTGCATGCTCTACCCATCCATGTGTATGTTCTTAGGCTTCCTCCCACAGTCCAAAAACATGACTGCAGGTTCATTGGTGTCTTTAAATTGTCTATTGTTGTGTGAGTCCATGGATGTATATATCTGTTCTGTGGTAGACGGGAGACATCTCCAGGGTGTAGTCCACCTTTCAACCATAGGCTGAGGGAGGAAGCGGCCCCACTGAGACCATAGCAGGAAAGTGGAAGAAGATGGAAGGTTGGATGGTTATCAGATGTACCAAGCCAGGGGGGATTCCTGCTCTCATAGAAACATCTACACTAATGATGATTGGTTAATCCCTGCAATTGAGACATATTGGATTAACAAAGTCCTTCTGATTAACACAGCCCTGTTTATGATCTGACCAGCAGTACCTGGTCTATAATCAACCCTCAGCTTCTTTGAAAGCAACCTTCTATGGCTCTGTGGTGGCGTCAGCCCTCCTCTAAGCTGTTGTCTTCTGGGCCCCTGGCAGTGCAGAGCGGGACAGAAAGAGACTGAACAAACTGGTGAGAAAGACTTTTAGACCCTGTTTGTAAAAAGAAGCGCAACCGCAGGTCATTCATCTCTGCTGCAACCAGACTCTACAATGCGACAATACAACGGCAATAATCCTGCTTTAGCACATTCTTCCCCTTTGACTATTTGAGCTGACGTACCAAGTTAATTTCTCCACTGTGAGATCAATAAAGCCATTCAATCAATCAATCAATCAATCAATCAATCAATCAATCAATCAATCAACAAGGTTCTGTTCCTATATAATCTGGCACAAATGTCGTGAACCAGATTATACTGGAATAAAACCTGTCTTTTAATGGCATTATTGGAGATTTATTTTAAATCTCTGATTTTGAATTGTATGGATTATTTTAAGGGACTGATCAATTGATTCTGCTGATTCAGCTCTTATCCCAAACTTCACCAGCTTGCTGATTTTTAATCCTTGGACTTTGTATTTCTGGCAAGCACATAATGAGTAATAATCCAACTGTATTGTGCTAATAAGGCAATAGCTCCTTCCACATACTCTTTGCTTAAGAGGGTTTAACTTATTGCAGGGACTGGATGACTTCTAGTCACCAACAGATTCCTGATGGGCGTAACTTCAGTCTACATGAAGCCTGTTTTTATTCTAGTGCAGATTTTTTCTTTTAAAATTAAGGCCATTATTGCTGCACAACTTCTTTGGCAAATTAGTGAATTAATTTTTTTTTTACTGCACTAATAGTGATAATGAAAGAGCCAAAATATTTAAAGCATTTATCCAATATTTTCCCTTACAGGAATATTATATTTATTTTCCTTATTAGAAGCTACTTCCAGGTCGCTTTACACCTTTTACATCAGTGACTGGATTATTCTTGGTAAACCTGAGTTTCTGATTGCAGCTGAAGTTCCACAAATGCTCTCAGCCCTTTCACCCTATGAGACCTGACCTCTAGGCCTCTTAATCTGTCTTCCTAACTCAATGAAATCCACTAACTCCGTAGACACCTGTTTTATCCTGAAGAAAATTAAAGTTTAAAGATTTTTCCATACAAATGAAAATATTCCAATCTGTCAATTGATCCAAATGATCTATTTCCTGCAGAACGCTTAGATATTAGCATAGAACAAAAAAGTTGTCTGTCATTAGTATCTGTGTGAGGGCAGCAGTTATAATGCTGGCCGCTAAGGAGCCTTAAAGGCTTAGTTCAGTCCGTCTAAATCTATACACTAAAAACCCCATATGAAGTGACTGGAGAGTCGTTTGGATCTGATTCTCGTAAACAGCTAAATTAAATGTGAATACGAAGGCAAGAAAAACCATCAAAATAAAATCTAGTGAAGAGATAAAGCTTTGAGACGTAAAACAGTATTTTTATTTTCAAATATATCACTTATTTTCAGTAAAATATTTTTAAAGAAAACATATAGTTATAAATCACACAAAGTACTCATTATCAGTTTGACCAGTTGGGTTTTCCACATGAAGGTTTACAACAATTCAAGTAAAGAAACTGTTCAGTTACTTAACCTAAGATGGATGTTTGTTTGAAAGAGGCACAAAGTGAAAAACAGAAGCTTTCAGACTGTTTCCATGTAATCACCACTCATGGAAAAAAAAATGTAACATTTCTCAGACTGTTTCCTGAAAAAAAGTTGGTATTACGTCCAGTTTTGATGTGTTTAATAATAAATATTTTAGCATTAAACCCAACATCAGCAGGTGAAACACAAACAGACAACCTAAAAAGCTAAATAAAGGGGAGGTGCTGAACAGAAGTGCGTGTAGTTTGGGTTCTGCAGCGCTGCAACAGACACCTAGATGGAGATGTTGGTACAGGTCTGCTAACAATAGGTTTTCCAGTCTAAATAACTTTTATTGATAAAGTATTTTTTTTAAATGTGCTGTATAATGCTAAAAGCAAGAAGCACATTTTTTAATTGTTATTACACTGTCAGAAGTACAGAGCAATGAAATGAACTCTGCATTTAACCCATCCCCTTTAGGAACAGTGGGCTGACATTGTGTGGCTAATAGGGAGCAGTGTTGGATTAAGGGTCTTTGCTCAGGGAGCTAGAGTGACATTCTGTGGGAGCGAGGCTTGAACTCAGAACCTCAGGATTCCAAGTTCTATACCCTAACCACTAGGCCACCACTCCATATTTCTGTAGCTTTGCAGGCTGCTCAGTGCCTTGCCTTTTAGCAAGAAAGTTCCGGGTTCAAATCCCCGCCTGGGGTCTCTCTGCGTGGAGTTTGCATGTTCTCCTTGAGCATGCGTGGGTTCTCTCTGGGTACTCCGGCTTCCTCCCACAGTCCAAAATCATGACTGTTAGGTTAATTGGCTTCTCTAAATTCTCCTTAGGTGTGAGTGTGTGTGTGAATGGTTGTTTGCCTTGTTTGTCTCTGTTTTGCCCTGCACTGGACAGGGTGCACCCTGCCTCTCTCCCGTAGACAGCTGGAGACAGGCACCACCACCCCTTGTGATGGAAAATGGATGGATGTAACTTTGCTGTCTCTTATCCTGGACTCTCTTGCAAAATAGTTTTTGATCTTGATGGGATTTTTTCTTGGTTAAATAGAGATTAATAATAATAATAATAATGAATAGAAATATTAAAAGAGAACAGAAAGCAGAGTGATGACTCTAGTAAAACAAAACAGAGACGAATCGGCACAGAAAGTCAAATAAATATTAGGAGATACACTATATTGCCAAAAGTATTTGCTCACCCATCCAAATTATTGGAATCAGGTGTTCCAATCACTTCCATGGCCACAGGTGTATAAATTCAAGCACCTAGGCATGCAGACTGTTTTTACAAACATTTGTGAAAGAATGGGTCGCTCTCAGGAGCTCAGTGAATTCCAGCGTGGAACTGTGATAGGATGCCACCTGTGCAACAAATCCAGTTGTGAAATATCCTCGCTCCTAAATATTCCACAGTCAACTGTCAGCTGTATTATAAGAAAATGGAAGTGTTTGGGAACGACAGCAACTCAGCCACGAAGTGGTAGGCCACGTAAACTGACGGAGCGGGGTCAGCGGATGCTGACGCGCATAGTGCGAAGAGGTCGCCAACTTTCTGCAGAGTCAATCACTACAGACCTCCAAACTTCATGTGGCCTTCAGATTAGCTCAAGAACAGTGCGCAGAGAGCTTCATGGAATGGGTTTCCATGGGCGAGCAGCTGCATCCAAGCCATACATCACCAAGTGCAATGCAAAGCGTCGGATGCGGTGGTGTAAAGCACGCCGCCACTGGACTCTAGAGCAGTGGAGACGCGTTCTCTGGAGTGACGAATCGCGCTTCTCCATCTGGCAATCTGATGGACGGGTCTGGGTTTGGCGGTTGCCAGGAGAACGGTACTTGTCTGACTGCATTGTGCCAAGTGTAAAGTTTGGTGGAGGGGGGATTATGGTGTGGGGTTGTTTTTCAGGAGCTGGGCTTGGCCCCTTAGTTCCAGTGAAAGGAACTCTGAATGCTTCAGCATACCAAGACATTTTGGACAATTCCATGCTCCCAACTTTGTGGGAACAGTTTGGAGCTGGCCCCTTCCTCTTCCAACATGACTGTGCACCAGTGCACAAAGCAAGGTCCATAAAGACATGGATGACAGAGTCTGGTGTGGATGAACTTGACTGGCCTGCACAGAGTCCTGACCTCAACCCGATAGAACACCTTTGGGATGAATTAGAGCGGAGACTGAGAGCCAGGCCTTCTCGTCCAACATCAGTGTGCGACCTCACAAATGCGCTTCTGGAAGAATGGTCAAAAATTCCCATAAACACACTCCTAAACCTTGTGGACAGCCTTCCCAGAAGAGTTGAAGCTGTTCTAGCTGCAAAGGGTGGACCGACGTCATATTGAACCCTATGGATTAGGAACGGGATGTCACTTAAGCTCATATGTGAGTCAAGGCAGGTGAGCAAATACTTTTGGCAATATAGTGTATTTTATAACAATTTGTTCCATCATTTTGACTGAAATATCTGATCGTATTTGTTCCACCAACAAAAGCCAGTCACCTGAAGAGGCCTTTGAGAAATAAGTAGATCAGAGAGCTATAAAGGAGCAAGAACATACAGTAGCAACCATTCAAAATAACCCTGTCCAGTCAAAAGCCGGCCCAATGGCAGCAAAATCCCCTACAACTTCCAGCCACTGGCCTTCTTATGGTCTTGCTTATTTTTTACTCCGACTCCCTCCTTTCACTTCTCTTTAGTTCTTAATGTCCACAAATCATGGCTGAAAGAATATTTTAGTACAAAAAATTACGTTTAAAAAGGAAGTGTAGGGGACCAGCCAAGGGCCCATCAAGGAAAATGGGGAAATTTTGAATAGCTGCTACCGTAAACACCTTTAAAAGCCAAGAAAAAAAGGTTTTAGAAACTATTTTCTGGCACAAAGACAGCAAGTGGAGGTATAAACTACTGATCCCTGAGTATAGAGTGAAATCACCTCTGGCTTTAGTTTTCAGTTAATGGCATTTAACCTTTCTAACATACTTCTGACCCGTTGGCTTAATCCAGGGTTATACCAACTTTAATAACATGTTGCTAAACATGTGGTTCACAATCATCATGGTTTGTTGACAAAATGCAGAGTAGAAAAAAACCCAGCAGTCTTTCTGATGTAGCGGAGTTGCCTTTACGTTTTAAGCTGTGATGCTATACTGATGTAAAAATGCACAAACATGCAGCTTTTAGAATAATTCCTCACGGGTCTATTTATAGATCTGTGAAAACCCACATCCACAACCCTCAGAGGGGGAACTCGACACAAATGGATTCATTTGGGGAGTTTTCTGAACCATTTGAACCACCATCCTGCTGAATCAGCTGGTGGCTGCATGGCGCCAGAAGGTAACAGCAGGTCCTCAAGCTGTCTGCTGAACTGTAGAAAATCAGGTAAAGCTATGGCTATTTTTTTTTTGCAGCTGATTAGTGAGAAGATTGGTGTATCTTATTTTTTCCGCAGTAGTCTGTCTGTTTGATGTCACATTTTGGCTTTTTACCCAGAACTGAAAAGCTGAAAAATGTGACTGATACTGTTGACAAAGCTTTGTCTCCAGACCAGAGTTATACCTTTTCTTCGTTGCTGGAAGAATGCCATTCATGCTTTCATCCCATCAATAATTTAGATTATTTCCTTTGTCAGAATGTGCCAGAGCTCACTTCCTTTAACCAAAACATCCGGAGCAACAGCATTTACCCAAGTTCTCTGATGCTTCATTGGCTTTCCAGTCAATCCTTACATCCATCTTTGTTCTTACTACACTGAAGCACTTTGCTCCACCTCACTAGTCACTCGGTATAAACAACAGGGCACTGAGGTCTTCATGGTGAACCATGAGTACCAAGGTCAAGGTGAAAACAGTGGGGTGAGTGGAATAAGCTTTACCCAAGTTTAGGTTCTATTATGGATCGGATTAACCGTCTAATGCTCAGTGGGACTCTGGTGTTCATCCACTCTTTATCTGTCCATCATCTTCTGACATGTTTTATGAGCATCTTTCTTAACTTTTTAATGTTGTATATAGTGATAAACAAACATACCGATTGACTGATTGGAGGGTTTTCTGATAGGACATGAATGTTTAACTAAATTTGTCATCTTTGAAGGTTAAACCAGGAAAAAATATTAAACTAAATACATATTGTAAGTTTACAGCTTAGCAGGAATGAGTCAACAGCTTCTTTGAGACTCACTTACACTCTGGTACCACAACCAGTATCACATTTAAGAAGTAAATGTAAAAAGCCTTAAAATAATTGTTTCTTTTTTCATAGAAAATAAAGAAATAAGTGGTTTGAACAGTAGAGAATACCACAACTAAGATAAGGGAGGGGGTTTCACAGTGGCACAGTTAGCAGAAGATGGTCTGTTTGTTCTCCCTCTGCATACATGGGCATTTCATTGGGTATCCTGCCTTCCTACCTCAGTCCAAAAACATCAAATTCCTTCTCTAGATTGCTCTTCAGTATGTGGTGTGACCAAGTATTTGTTACCTTATGAGGACAATATTCCAGGAATATGCTACTTTGTAGGGACTTAACCTCAGCAATCGAGCGATCGACCAGTTGACTGGTCCCCAATGAGGACAGGTTCTTTTCTTGGGTTTAGAATTATGATCAGGATAAGCTATGAATAAATTTTTGGTTAGTTTTAAGGTTAGGTATGTGTTGGTAATGTTTGGCGATAGGATAGTCTGGGTTAGGAGTGAGTGCAAATGCAAATGCAAAATTCAATGTAAGTCAATGCAAAGTCCCTGTAAGGATAGCAGGCCTTAACATAGGTGTGTTATCTTGGAAGAGTGAAGGGGTACAAGGATGGATGGATGGATGGATGGATGGATGGATGGATGGATGGATGGATGGATGGATGGATGGATGGATGGATGGAGGAACTACCAACTCCTTTAAAACAAATGAAACTGAAGAATTTTTGGATGCGTCTCTCTGAAAACCCAGAAACTTTTCTGCTTTTTTATTCTATGGGTTTGAATATGACGTGACACTGAATCATGTTTCTGAGAACATATGTCAAATTAAGGCAGATTGGTTATAAACTTCACAACTCAGTGAGTGGATGAAAAAGTGTGTCAAACCTTTATAAAACTTCTGTCAGTCAAACTAACAAAAACAGATCTGAACCAACTGAATCTGTGTTTTACCAGGCTGGGGCAGAACCAAAGTTCCACCAAACATTAATATGAAGTGGGTGGGGAAGACACAAACATCTGCAGCCAAGGGAGCCATGTTTTAGGCAGCCATTAAAAACATCTACATGGTAACAGGTTGTCTGGCAACAAAATGCATTTTCTGTCCTACCATCATAAAAATATGAAATTTGCCAATTTGGTCAATCAATCTTCCTGAATCTACTTCACTAAACTGTGTAGAAAACCTGTTGGAGCTGAATAGAGGACCCCATATTGTAGAGAGATTATACTAAGTACAGTTCTATTTATCAAGGAAACATTTATTTTAAGGCTTTTTAAAACAACTTTACCAGCAAGTATGGGGAGAGTTGTATTTAGAATTAAAAAGGCAAATAAAGCAAAGCAAAAAGGTGACCAGCAATGAAACTGGAGGACCTTCAGAGTCTCTGGTTTGTCTTCATTCATAGTCCTATTTGATACAGAATTCATTGGTTGAAATATTACCCTAAGAGAAGCTTAAACTAAGGATAATATTAGGAAATTTTTACCTAATAGACTTTCAAACAACTCCATTATTTACATTGAAGATAAATGGGCAAAAAAATCCGTCCAGAAAATAAGAAATTAAAAATTAAGGCTGACTGTAGTTTAATCCAGTGTTTTTGTTGAAAAAAAAGGATCTCCTTACAGAAGAAGTCAAAGGTTCTTCTTGAACAATAAGGCTGAATATTCCCACAGTGTCATCCCAGGACTCAGGACTTTTTCTCCTGGTGTTGAATGAACCAGTCTGAAGGTGCAATGTCCAGTCTAAGCTGCTCCATGAGCCACGGATCCTTCTCTGCTCCCTCAATAAACTCCTCCAAAGATATCTGACCTGCAAATCAAACAAAGATTTCAATGATACACATAGAGCAACAGATTAACATCATCTTTCTTTAAAAAACCACAGAAATGTGACATTTTAGACTGTTTTCCTGCAAGTTGCTGGTGAACAGTTTGTTGAAATCACCTTCTTCCTCATTTCTGATGTTAGCTGACAGGTTTGGGACCGAAACCAGGAGATGTCTCTCCACAGCAACTGTCACCAGTTCTTCCAGTAGGATCTAACACTGTTCCCAGTTAAATGAACATATAATCCTTTAAATTAGTTATGTGTCTGACCTCAGAATCAGCTCACAGAAGGAGCTACTTGGATAATCCCTGATTAGATGTGAGAAGAAGGCATTCTGGTTAGATGCCCAAACTATCTCAAATGACGCCTTTCAAAGAGGATTGACAGCAGCTTCAAACTCTCCCTGCATAATTAACGTCTTCATCCTTACTCTTAGGCTTGGTCCACCATTGTACAGTGAAAATTTATTGGAGCTGCTTATAGGCTCCCATTCTGTTAACCACACTCTTTAGCTAATGGTTGGAGTGTTGCAAAATGTTTTTTTTATTTCATTTTTATCGTGACAGCCAAATTTTGCACAGTAGAATCAGAAATTTTTCCGTATATCTGCCACATCCTCCTGTATCCAGCACTGATATAATTACACAGAGTTGCTAACCAAACCAGGGTAAGAAGGAGTATGTGGTAATCATCTGTTCTCATATAGGAGGGGTCACTTCTCATATTAATTAAGGGATTCTGTGTTTTCTACACTTGTCTGCCTGCTTTTACCTCTTTGCAGAGATATCCAGTCTTTGATTGTCCAAATATAGAGCTGTGATCAACCTATTAGAGACAGGTAATCTGGTCTAGGACCAACAAATGCTGGTTTGGTCATAGTACCCAGCACACCGTCTTTGGTGGCACAAAAACTTCTCAGTCCGTCTCTGATCAATGTATTCTTCTCATAAAATGTTGTCAGAGGTGGGTAAGGGACCCAAAAACGGTGCTCTAGTAAAAGTGGCACAACTTGAAATTTTATTATACTTAAAAGTAGTTTTGCAGCGATGCCCTTTTTTGGCCCTGATACCGATACTTGGCTGTGCAGTATTGGCCGATATCATCTGTTTTAAATTGATGTGTGTGTATATATGAAGAAATGCGTACTACTTGGATGTAAAATAATTGCCATCATGGTTTTGTCAAGCTACTGCCTACCTTTGTGAAGCAGGAAAAAGACTAATACAAAGTGAATCCAGTAGAACTTTTTATTGCCTACCTGGAATGGCTGACAATAGTTGAATAAACTTTTGTCTCCCAAAATGGTATCGCGCCCTATTTGTTGGTACTCGCCGATTACGATACCATAATTCTATTGCAGTATCGGGGCCCTGCCTGATACTGGCATTGGTATCAGTGCAACACCACTTAAAAGTAGTCATTGAAGAAATAACCAAAGCAAGACTAAAAATAATTGTTGGATTATAGTGCCTGATTTAATGTTTAGAAAATATATAATCATACTTTTTATGTAAGTTCTGGTATATTAAAGAATAAAATAGATTAAAAAAACTAATTCCAGAATTAGAGTCATTCATTTAGCTCAGACACCGAAAGAAAATGCAGCTGCAGCTCAGTAATGTCTAAAAATGTCTTAGCTGCAGCTGACTTTGACTCACAGAGGAAATAATGATGAAACTAAACATTTTCTTCGCTGAGGAACTTTAAGCTCAAAAACAGTGTCTGTGGAAAACCTGACGGTCTGACTGTTGACTTTACTAAAAAAGAAGAACTCTTAAGTTTGAGGTAAACTATAATGTGATCTCATTCCTTAGCCTTAGGATGCTTCTTTCTTCAAAACAAGACTTTACCTAACTCATATCATCAACCATGCACGGCTAAGCTTTACTGTTTTAGAGAAACATAACTCTTAAGGCTCTTTATGTGTTTGTTTAGGTCATATTTTAATATTGTGTCATTTTCTGATTTTGAAATATGATGTTTGACCTGCAAATAACATGGTCATTATTGATGATTCGCTGACATTAATTATCCCTTCAGGGGTTTTTGCTACTTCCAATTCCAGTGTTTTTTGCTCTACGACACAAAAAGTTCAGATTCAGAGTAAAAACGAAGAGCAAACATATCCATTTGTAATAGTTTAAAATAAAAATAATTTTCTTCATGTTTTGACTTACAGTCTTTGTTCTTGTCCACCAGTTGAAATATCCTGTCACAGATGTCATCAACATCAACTTCCACATTCTGCTCATTGCGTCTTTTAATCTTGGTGATGATCTGGGAAAAAACAAAACAAAAAATAAAAATATTTACAATTAAATCTTTCAAAAATAGAAACTTTATAATAATTTCAAACTTTGTTGTTATTCTGATTACGTTCTTTGTGTGGCTGTGCATGTTACCCATTTAAGACCATGTTTGGTATTTTTACTAACATGTGAGGACCGACAGGGTGATGGCTGGTCCTAATGTGATGGACGGCCATCTTTAATGCCGGAGAGTCACTTTAGAGGTATTATGTGAATTTACTTTAAATTATTCTTAGAGTTAGGAATATACTGGTAATGGTTAGGGTTGGGCATCAATGCAGTAACTAAAATTAATGCAAGTCAATGTAGAGTCTTAATATGGGCAGAAATGCAAACTTATGCATGTGGCTGTGGTTTTGTTACCTTTGGGGGACAATTTTCCAGGATTATGATACATTTTTGGGACTTACAGGTACTTATTGGGAGAAAAAAACTGGTTCCCGTGCAGTAGTAATTGTTTGTTTTCCATTAATCCATTCCACTACCATTCCATGACCCTGAGATCGTGGCTTTTCTCCCAAGATACAAGAAATGACTGTTGATTTGTCTCTAGATGCCCACAACAGAAGCTTTTTTAATTTGAAATTCAATTTTCATACAACACATTGACCTGAGCCTGAGCATTACAGTGTTTCTTTCAACTGCACATAGTAAAATGAGCAGGATTATGCTGCAGTTTGTTTGTGTTGCTTAAAATACAGCAGTGTGGCCCATGTGTACTAGTTTCATTTTAAGCTCATTTGCATTTGCTGTAAATTTTATAACTGTTCCAAATGCTTTCCATAAAACAAGCAGAGTAGAAAAACAAACAAACCATAAGCTGAAGACTCACTTTGACAACACGTCTCACTTCCTGATTGGTCAGAGAGCCATTCCCATCATTGTCATACACTTTAAAAGACCACTTCAGTTTGTCGATGAGTTTTCCACGAAGAACGAGGTTCACAGCTGCCACATACTCCATGAAGTCCAATTTACCATCCTAAATAGAACCATAAATTACAAACTCTGTGGAAACAACCTTACATCAGCTAAGATAGATGTATTAAACAAGAAGCACTACCTTATTAGTATCAAAGGATTTAAAGACAAGTTCAATGAAAGCCAGCTCCTCCTCTGGTGATTTGCTGTTGACCCCAAAGATTTTCTTGAATTCATGCAGGTGCAGGTTTCCACTTGGACATTCACTGGTAAATTTTCGGTACAGTTCCTGAATGTGCTGAAGAGTCACTTCTTTTTCTGAGGTGGCCTGGACCTGACCCATAATTTCAAACAGGAAGGTGCAGAAATCCCCTCAGATGATGGGTTTTTGAGTCGGTACATCCTGACAGTGCCATCAGGAGCTCATGGTTTCAACTGACCTTTTCCAGAAGAGTGGTCCCTGGGAGCTATTTCTGGAGCACCTGGTAAACAAATCCTATTGAGTCCTCATGTATCCCAATCAAATCCCCACCTATAAAGAAGGTCTGCAGGAAGACCACTGTATTTCTAAAACTAGAGCTACACCGCCATAAAACAAATTACATTTATTTCTCTAAATCTACTTTTGCTGGTGTTGGAAAGCTAATCTGCAGACTGTTTGACTGCCGGGAGGAACAGATTTTCCTCCTGCACACCAGAGAGATTAAAAGTCTGAATCCGTCAAAGCGTAAGTGTGTGTTTGCCGATGTGTTGATCCGATGAAGCGCGTGAGGAGGTTGACCTCGCAGGGGAGGGGAAGCGGTGCTGTGATTGGATCTTCAAAAGTCTAATCAGCTTCTGAAATAGCTTCATGTTCAGGAGATAAATGGAGTGTTTTCTTATATTTAAACCAGCCTTTTAAACCACCAGTAGCCTTCTTCATCTACATTGTTAATTACTGAATAGGATTTAACATGGGTGTGACAGACTGATGAGCCTTAAATAGCTTATAATGGTTCTGAAATATACAAAGAGAATGAATGCTGCTTAGGTATATTTATGTCCGGTTGAGATATATTTTCTTCTACGTTATTCCAGCATTTCCCTTCGCCCCCCACTAGATGTCTCAAACACCTTAACTTACAGCACAGGGTGAAGATAAAGCATGTATGGAGAAACAGGAAGTGAAACAAAAAAAACAATGTAAAATAGCGAATTGTATAAAGAGTGAAAAAGTCAGAATGATAGAAGAGGATGGAAGCTGTTGAGTAAACCAAGATATGTGAGAGCAGCTGAGATAGAAGGTAACCGTGGAGTCTGAGGGAGGGAGGACAGTCAACACAGATGAGCTGGGTAAAGACAAAATACAATGTTATGGGGAAAAAAACCAATTACCTACCTAATGAACTGAGGAAAACCAAACATAGAAAATAAATCTTAGAGAAAATAATAGTGTCAGGGATCTAGGGCCTTGGGTTCTGAATGGTGGAGTTCTGCAGTTGCGCTTCTGCACATAGCTTAATCCGCATGCCTTTAGTAGGAGAATATGGGGATCTGGCTGCCTGGCCTCATTGCTTCAGTGTTGGCCCATGGGGAATACCAACCATCTTTGAATTTCTTGTATTTTCTCCAAGAATATTTTCCTTGTGTGTCCTTCATGTTATAGAAAAACCCCTACTGTGATCTTGGGCCGTAACCATCTACTACAAAAAATAACCTTCTGGCTTTAATCCATGACTGGTAACTATAAACCCAGCTTGGCATGTGCTATGATCCGATTCCAAAAAAACATTTGCAGGTCAGGCACCTTAGCATAACTATGACAAATGGAGAAAAGAATAGGATATTGTAAGACAGCATGGAAGAATATTAGCAAATAAACACAAGCAAAATGCTAATCTCTAACACTAAAGGATCATGGCAGATCTAAGTGATCTATTTTCACTCTCAGTGGTCCATTAAATGTATCAGTCTTTATTATATGTGTCCTGGCATGTCCTTGTAGGTTATCTTTAACCTGCTGCCTCTCAGAGGATCTGGCACACCTGAGTTCTATCTTGGTATCCTGAGTCCTGGCTGTAATCCAGCTACTATCCCAACAGGAGAACTTTACTTAGTCACATCTTGATTTCTTCGTGTTGCTTTAATATTGGGGGGGTGGCGGCCTAGTGGTTATGGCATAGAACTTGGGGGGTGAATCCTGAGGTTCCCTGAGATTGCCACTCTGGTTCCCTGAGCAAAGACCCTTAACCCGTCACTGCTCCCCGGATGCCCCACATGGCAGCCCGCTGCTCCCCAAGGGGATGGGTTAAAGTCAGAGGTAAATTTTTCCAATGTAAGATCAACAAGGTTCGAATAAAAATAGTATGAAGATCTGTTGTTTATGGTGTAATTAACATTTGCAGCCTCATGAGATAAAAGGGAAATTGGACACAAAAGTAAAATCTGTTTTTGAAGAAGGAAAGAGGGACTTTTTACTGGTGAGGTTTTGGATGGAGATAGTTAGGCAAACTGATAAGGATAAAAAAAAGGCCTAGATATGTTCTAACCTTGGAGTAAAAAAGTAAGAAACTTCACCAGTCACCATTTTGACAGAAGTCAGGAAAGTAAACAATGGAGAACAACATGGAAGGAAGCCAGGGCGTACTCAGTGTGCTTTATTGTTTCTCTCTATTATCTGTCTGAATCCCTCTCACGAGAGCTGCTCCGTGTTTACTGAATGTAAACAGAGTTGTTTTGGCTTGTTAGATCAGAAGCGACTGCTGTGGTGTTGACGTGCGTAAATTGCCTTCAATGGTATCATGTAATTTAGTGGGTCAACCCGACTCTGGTGTTCCCAGAGCACACCGATCAGAGCTGAGGAAATTTTAATATGGGTCGTTTTCTGAGTCATTTGACCCAGTAGACACCAGTCAGTGAGCCACTAAAGACCAATTGTTTCAGGGTTTAAACAGTTTTTTTGGTCAGTGGAAAAGGGGTACCAGATTGTCCTCTGTCTCTGCTCTCCTTAGAGCCAATCACATTGTTTTATTTTACAGATATAGGAGGACTACTTATTTAGATGATCCACACGGAAATAAAAGATTGTCCTCTATACCTTTATTGAAAAGATTATTGGTAACAAAAGCTACATTTGGAAGCTTTTGAAAAAAAACAACAACAAAAAACATTAACCCTTCATTGTTGGGGTGTAAAGGAGAGAGGAAGGTAAATTTGCAAACATAAAATGGCCTATGGTGCTCTGACTCATGAAAAAAGACCAAGAACTTCAGGTAGCTCTGTGATTTAAAAAAAATGTTGGTAGGTGAATGGAAGGTTAAAAGTATTACAGTAGAAATTCAACAAGCCTTTTAAAAGAGCTCACATTTTCCATATATCTTATTTAATGGGTTGATTAAACTTAAATCAAATATTAATTTTACTTTGAAGACAAATGTTCATCATGTTTTCTATTTTCTGTCAGTCGTAGGTTATGGTCGTTACTGTACTTTAAAGAAATGGATGCAGCCTATCATGTTTCTCTATAGTTTGTTTCAAACGTAAATGTTTAAATACATGTTTACTGGTCTTAAATACAGGGCTCAAATAACCTAAAATCTCTTATATCATAAGCATTTTTATTTCTCAAAGCAGTTTTGATGCTTCCAAATCTGAATTTAAAAAACTAATTAAACTCTGTTAATAAACAGCAAACGTTTTTATAGGAATAACCAAAATTCTGATCTAATTACTTTGATTTAAATACATTTATTTGTTTATTTTTAATTGATCCACTTTTTATTTTAACTGCCTTCTTTACCTTTTCATCTATGATGAGCTCTGTATTGACTTGAATATCTGGACCCAAGTGAAAAATGTCTAGATGCTTTAAACGTTGATGGATTGTTAACTTTCTCACCTTTAGAGACCAGCAGCCTGATTTCTACATAGAAGGTATTCAGTCACATGAGGATGGCGAGCAGCATCCTTCCGCAGTCTCCTTCAGCCTTACTGCTTTGTAAAACTAAAGAGAAAGTGATGAGAAATCAGAAAAAGTTAGCCAAATATTTGAAAAGTAAACATAAACACTAAATGCTTCAATAAATAGATGAATAATTGCAATTTTTCTCATCATGAGGAAACAGCAGACGCTAAATATGAAAAGTCCAACACGGCAATTGTTGATTTATTTCAAAGGGTTAAACATTTTATGCAATAGTCTAATGAGGTAATGTGATTAATCTCTTAGAAGCATGCCTCCTGAGAGAAGCCGGCTGACGGTGCAAATCTCTTTAGTGTGACTGACTGAGTCAATTGGAGCCTTCGCCACGTTAGATAGACGATCAGAACTTTCACAAACTCCGCAGGGATCCTTTGGACCAATGCAGCTGGACACCAGGAAGCAAGAGAAAAGCAGCAGTGATGGGAATCTTGCTCAGATTCAGGAGATGTGTGTCATTTTTCTGAGGGAATGTCCCAGCGGCGCCTTGCATCTACACGAGTTCAAGAGGATGTTTGGCGTCCAGAGCAGCTCGCGAGAGGAGTCCCTCTTCCTCGAGACAATCTTCCGGTCATTCGACACAAACCAGGTGAACCATTTTTACATCTGGATGCCAGAAGTCACAGTCGGGGTCTTACTGTTTGATTAACACTCCTGGTTTATCCACAGGACAACACGCTGGACTTCATTGAGTACGTTGCTGCTCTTAACTTGATTCTAAGAGGGAATCTGGAAGATCGGCTCAAATGGTCCTTTAAGATGTACGACCGAGACGGGAATGGAAAACTGGACAGGAAGGAGGTGAAGCTCCTCATAAGGGTGAGAAAAAGATGAACATTTACAGGCGCGGATTCAGGCGGGGGCGCGGGGGGCGCGCGCACCCCCCTTTGGGATATGGCAAGCCGATTGGACCAATAATCGTCCGTACAATAACGCGCGGTTCCAACCCGTATTTTACGCGAGCGCGCGTTTTTGACGTCACCGCGCGTTCTGGCTGGTGGCTGGAAACGCGCGGTGACGTAAAAAACGCGCACTCGCGTAAAATACGGGTTGGAACTGCGCGTTATTGTACGGACGATTATTGGCCCAATCGGCTTGCCATACAACAATAGCGTCGTTGCGAGCACGAGGAGACCTGGAAGATTTAAGGCCAAACAAGAAAACCAGACAACCATCTCTTTGAAGATTCTGGTCCAATCCAACAAAAGGGTAAGTAGAAACCAACTTTATCACTTTATTTTCTAAAGGCTTATATCTATAATCTAAATAACACAGATTGAAATGTTTATATCTTGTTTTCTATTCTTCAGTGGACCTGGCACAACTACAGAAATGACCACAGCGTTGACCAGTATGAACGTTCAGATATTGGAGACACACAGATAAAAGGTATGATGATTGCTAGAAAATGTTGATAATGAGAAAACATTATCAACATTGTTGATTGTTGATAAACAAGTTGTTTAAAGTTGCAAAGTAATGCAATTGTAGGAATACTTTAACCAGTAACGGGAAAGTTATGAAAATTGCAGTGTTTGATAAGTAATAAAAAGAGTGTACAATTAACAAAAATAAGCAACATTAGTTGCCATTGACATGTATACAATAGTTATTTTGTAGTGTGTATTTTTGGGTCTAAACCTGTACCACATGTGTTGTACTGTTAAAAATAAGAATGGTGTCCTTTACGAAAACATTACTAACTTTTATCAATTGGTAAGGATCCAAATCAATGAATGCTCTAAGCACATGCTTGGAGTCTAAGGGAGTCTTG